TTTGACATGTTTTGACTGTCATGTCTTCTAGTTGTAGTCTGGTCTAGAACTTTAGATTTAACAGAAATTTTTTCTTGGCACACTTTAAGCCCAACAGTATCGATTCAGCATTGTTTACATAAACTAAAATGTGGTAATTTGGATGCGTGCTTGGTTTGACAGTGTATTATTACATAGTTGGAATATTCTTTCTTAATAAATGTCAAATATCAAGAAATATTTTTCCAACTATATGACATTACACTCCTAGTAAACATCAAATAAATAAAGAGAATGAAAAGAGAATGAAAAAAGGATTGTCAAATTCTTTTGGAGCTACTTTGTATCAAACAGATAAAATCAATTAAAGTAAAAGATAATTCAGCTTCAGCTAAGATAATATTTTGTTTTGTTTTGTCTTGTTTATATATATATATATATATATATATATATATATATATATATATATATATATATATATATATATATATATATATATATATATATATATATATATATATATACATAGTTCTAATTTGATCAGACTTTTGTTTTTATTATTGTTTTTTAAATTTTAAAGCTGTCACAAGTAATTTGTTTCTTTCAGTCCAAAACAAATTGAACTGTATATTTGAATGCGGTATGTGATGGAAGTTTAATACTGTATTATGCTTTTAAAACCACACATATATCATATATCAACTAAAATGTGGTAATTAGGATACTTGTTTGGTTTGACAGTGTAATATCATATAGTTGGAATATTATCTATTTACATTTCTTAAAATTTGCTATTGTTAAATAAAATGTTCCTACACTGTAAAAAAATATGATCAACTAACAGCATATGTTTTAAGTCATTGTAACTTATTAAACTAAGTTATTAAATTAAAAACAGAATTTTTAAAATGCACTTAATATAAAGTCAGTTCCACCTAAAATTCAACATTAAAAAACATGTAAAAAAAAAAAAAAAAACTCAGTTGACAACCTTAATGTCAAAAATACTTTAAATTAACATCTAACGTTGGTGTCAAAAAACATCAAAATGTATTATAGGACTGCAGATGTCAATTTGACATCAAGGTTGTTCAAATTGTAGGCATACAGAATTCATAGTAGATTTGTTATTTGGAATTGAAGCTTTCAGATGACTGAAATAAGCAAAGCTTATAACTGGACAAAAGATAAGAAGATAAATGACAGATAAGTAGATGAACGTCAAATAAATAAATAAAGAGAATGAAAAAAGGTTGTCTGTTGTGTTTGATTGTCAAATTCTTTTAGAGCTACTTTGTATCAAAAAGATACATTCTAGCAGATATTTTGCTACTTTGAATAAATGACTATTCATTTTCAGCCAAGGTAATCTTTTGATTTGTCTTTTTTTTTTTTTTTTTTTTTTTTACAGTTCTAATTTGAAATCAAATTTTTGTTTTTATTGTTGTTTTTAAATGTTAAAGCTGCTGAAAGTCATTTCTTACTTTCAGTCCAAAACGAATTGAACTGCACTTTGAATGAGGTATGTAATGGGTGTTTGATACTGTATTGTTCTTTTAATACCATAAGTATTTATATATATATATTAATTATGCACAAAATATTATATAATTAGCATAAACATAATTATGTGGGAAGAAATAGAAATATAAATTTTGTTTTCTGTGCACAAAATGTTCTTTAAGTTTTGGGACCGTTGCTGTTTATTGAGGTTGAGAAAGCTCTCAGATTTCATCTAAACAAATATTAATTTGTGTTCTGAAGATGAATGAAGGTCTCTGGGGATTAGAATGATATGAGGGTAAGTAATTATTATCTAAACAGCCAATCACATGGGAGTAGGCCTCTACAATTACACATGTAGTCATGGTCAAGACGATGTGCTGAAATATACTTAAATGTATGGCTATTTAAACTACCGATCTACTAATTAGACATACCTGAACTAATTTTTGGAACCTACAGGTGTTCAAGCAGGGTTGGAACTAAAGGTTGGTGACAAGATGATGACAAGGTTTGCCGTCCAGAAACTGTGTTTGACATCTCTGATCTATATAGAGGATTGTCTAAAAGGTAACTCAAATAAGCATTCACTACAAGCAAACTGAGGTCTGAAGAAGAGTGCCTGAACATAGAACCCATCAAACCTTGAAGCAGATGAGCTACAGCAGCAGAAAATAGATAAAAACAACAAAACTGGTATAATTGAACAGATAATTGCAAAGTGGTCAGAAAAATCTCAATTTCTGCTCTAACATTCGGTTGGCAGGGTCAGAATTAACGACAAAAATGCTTTCATGTTGTTTAACAATAACCAACTAAATATATTTTCTTGGCACAGTTTAACCCCAATAGTACCATTTCACAAATGTTTTTATAAACTATGTACACTGTAAAAAAATAAATAAATAAATAAAATCGTAAAACAGCTACGGCTGCCAAACAAAAACCATAAAATTACGGTAAAATTTCTTTGTTGAAATAAAGTGCAAAAAATTATTAATCGACAGATATTTTCATTAAAATGTTTACAGAAAAACACTGTTCTTTTATAGATATTTCCTAGATTATTACGATCAAATACAATTAATAAAGTTACACAATAAGTTTTACAGAGTAACACTGTTATTTTACAGACTTTTCCTAGATTATTAAGATTGAACACCTTAATAAAGTGACAGCACTAAAAGTTAAAGAGAAAACAATGTTATTTAAAAGAATTTTCCCTAAATCATTACGATTAAACGCCTTTAATAAAATGCCAAGACATGCTCATGGTTGTAATTTAACAGTTTTATTTTGGATCAAAACAGTTTGGAAAAAACAACAAACGAGATCCAACTGATTAAATTCTCACTACTATAACATTAGTTACATTTTATTGAATAGTATTCCTGTAAAACATGTAAAGGTTTAAGTTATATGGAATAAATCCAAATCTTAAATGAAATGGAACTAACGTGAAGGGACCCTGACAAAGAAGTGCAGATCCAAATGCAGGTTTATTACACAAAGATAGTGAGGTAAGCAACAGTCAACACAGGGGCAACCTGCAAACAGATGTATGCAGGAAATCCAGAATCATGGTGAAACAATAAGCAAATGATCAGTCCCGGCGGCAAACAACGTAAATAATGAACAAACAAAGCAAGGCAAAAGAAGAGAAATGCGTCATAATGTTCACAATAACAGCATAACATGACTACACACAATAACATTGACTAACACGGCTGCTTTTAAAGTCCATGTAATCAGTTCATAACGATCCTCCGACTGTGTGTGTGCAATCAGCGGAATCCGGAACAGGTGCATGTGAGCGCTCTTAGTGTGTAACTTTATTGTACGAATTTAATCATAATAAACAAGTAAATATCTGTGAAATAGCAGTGTTTTTCTGTAAACATTTTAATGAAAATATCTGTGGGTTTATTATGTTTTGCACTATTTCAACACAGAAATTTTACTGTAATTTTATGGTTTTCGTTTGGCAGGCATAGATGCCAGTCATTTGACCTTTTTTTTTACGATCTTTTTTATTTATATATTTATTTTAATTACAATTTATTTCTTTAATTTTACGTAATTTTAAATTGTACTTCAAAAAAACTGGAATAAACTGTGTAAATAAAACAGAGATTTTATTGTATAAAACAGACAAATTGCTGTAATTTGTTATTATTTATATAGTACATAAAATAACAGTCAAGCTGTTAATTTACAGATATTGTTTGTAATTTTTACAAACTTTTGAATATAATTTAATATAACAGAAAAAAATACTGTATGAATAATAATGTAATTTCCCTGTATAAACAACACAAATGTCAGTAATTTGTCTTTAATAATAAAGTACCTAAAATGAAAGTCAAACTGTTCATTTAGAGAGATTATTTGTCATTTTACTAAGTTTTGAATACAATCTGAAATGACAAAAATTTACTGTAAAAAATTTAGAGATTGTTTCTGAATTTTTTATTTTTTATTTTTTTTTACAGTGTGGTCAACAGATAATTGGAATTTATTACTCATTTCTGCTGCAATTTCAGAAGGCAGGGTCAGAATTTGATGTAAACAACATGGATCCATCTTGCTTTGTAAAAGAGGTTCAGTCTGCTGTCTGAAACTATAAATATACTATAACTGTATATATTTTCTTGGCACACTTTGGGCCCAACACACCTATTAGCATTGTTTATGTTAACTAAAATGTGGCGATTAGAATGCTTATTTGAATATTATTTCTTTAAATTTCTTGAAAATATATATTTATTTACTTTAAAACAATATATTTTTATTAATTAATAAAATATTTTTTTGAATAAATGTTCCAACAGATTAGTTAAAGATACTTTAATATAAAGTCAGTTCCTCTTGAATTTCAACATAAAAAAAACATGTAAAAAATACTCAATTGATTGCCTTGATGTCAACATTGGTGTCAATGTCAAAAAATGATTGCAGGACTGTAGATTTAGTTTGATATCAAGGTAGGTTAAATTAATTGTAGTCATACAAAATCATAAAAAAAATTGTCATTAGCAATTGAAGTTTTCAGATGAATAAAAACTAGCATTTTGATATATTTTGACATGATTGTATAGATGTCTTTTTGAGTTCTAGAGCTAAAAAAAATGTTTACCAAGATTTTGGTGTATTTTCACAGCAAAACACAATTGCAATAGGTAAAGGAATGGTGATTTCAGGCTACAAATATATTTTTAAAAAATTTCCTGCAATATCCTGGAGGGACTGTAAAGTGTGTACAGATGTCTATATATATATATATATATATATATATATATATATATATATATATATATATAATTGTATTTGTTAACCTATTGTTTAATTTACAGGCTGTGAAGTAAAAACAAGCTCCCCACACATACATAGCATATAAGCATCCCCTCTTACACAAACATAGCTATTCAACGACTCACAAACATGCCATCATAATGCAAGATTTGTATGAATGCATGTACTGTACACATGCACATGAGTGTGTTTATGTGTGTGTGCGTGTCCAGTACAGCATTGTCTGCCTCAGAAGGAATGGCTGGACTCTGAGTTGGGGGACGTGCTCAGACTGAACAAATCATGGTAATTGTTTTGGGAAGACTGTGAAAGTTAGACCCAAGATGAAGGCAGAGAAGGGAGCTTTCTCTTGGGCATCAGCCACTTCTGCAGCCCATCTCCTCTTCAGTCTTACTGTTCTCATTCACTCAGGTAAGAGGAACAATTCTAAGTTTTTCCTAATTCAAAATTCCAATCTGTTTGCCCCGACAAAGAGCTTTAGACATGCACTGGCTGGTGGTTGAGTTTCTTATTTTCATATTGTCTGTTCATTGTCATATTGTCTGTTCTTCATTTGTCATATGTCAAGTTCTAAGGAGGCTGTTATGAGTAGAAACATAGGAAATAACTATGCCATATTACAGTACATGTTAATATGGAATAATATGGAACTTTTTACGTGCCTCATTTAAGTTGTGAACTCCATAGCATAGAATAGGCATATATTTTTAGAGCTTTTCTGATTTTCTGATAAATCATTAACCTAGCCAACATTTTCCGATCTTCAACTAGCATTCTAGGAAGTTTGATTCAGCGTCATGATCAAACTTGCAGTAATGTTATTAGAGTGTTTCGTGTTTACATTATGTTTTACATTCTGTATTTTTCCTTCTAAATGTTTTAACTTTTATATGTCTGTAAACAGGTTTTAATATTTTAAATGTTCCTTGTTTTAAAATGTTTAGAGAACATACAGAAATTAAGTTATGCTAATGAGGATAGCAACCATTCTTACAAGATAATTCAGTAGCTTGTGTTAGCGACTATATTTTTCCACAATACTTTTTAATTGAATATCTAATTTTCTGTTGTTTGATCATTTAAAATCCAACAGAATTCTAAATAAATGGCAGATGGTTTAATATTTGGTCATAGAATGCAACGGCAGTAATGTATTTTAAGTCACAAAATGTATTAAACAGTTTGGAATATTGCAATAGGACTCCCAAATGAATTAATGAATGAATAAATGGTTCAACTATTGCTTTGGTGTTGTAAAAATGTAAAAATGAAAGAGAACACTTACTTTATGTTGTATTAAAAAATATCTTCCTGCCTAAATTCTTTAGTTGAATCAAATAAACTTTTCTATTCGTCTTTACTTAAATCAATCAGACAAAATGTTATGTTAAACTTTGTATAGCTAAAAAGTTGATCAAATCAGCATCAAATCAGTTGATACTTGAATTACTTAATAAAGTTTATTAAAGTAACATAAAAGCATTAGTTGTCACGACTTTCTGTCGTATAAGCTTTTTTTTACAGTGTACTTATTCTGACCTGTAAGTATTAAACACATTCAAGAATGAGTAATCATAATTGTATTAGATTTTAAAATATTAAAAAAACAAAGTCATCTCAACTTACATCATTAAAACTCATTAAAATATTAACCTTTGTATAACTAAAAAAATATTTTGCTACTTGCTTGATTTGCTTACTAAAATAAGTTACTAAAATAAGTTAAGGCAACATATATATATAAGTTGTAGAGGTTTGAAAGATAGCAGCAAAGCAAAAAGACTGAAATATTACTTTGGTGCTGCACTTTGATTCTTTTCAAGAGTTCACACTTACAGTAGCTGATGATTGATTATAAAGCTTGTTTGCCATGCTGTCCTGGAAGAAATAAGAAAAGAAGGAAGGAGTAGGGGTGGAAGGGGGCATTCTTCAAAATGAGGATGGCTGTCATATGGTACTTAGGGTATTTACTGTATAGTGGCTTAGGAATCATCTGATTGGTGAATCATAAATTGAATAATGCGGGGCCGGCTGCAAGCAATCATAAGCATGTAATCCTCTCGAAATTAGTTTATAAAAAACTTCACAAATTGAGTTTAAATTGAGTATTGAGCCTTAATTTTTTTAACATGTCACCCAATGTTTTTGTTGTAAATGTGCCTGACAAGATTTATACTGAATTGCATTGTAATGTGTGTCTTCTGTAAATTGTTGTAAAAATCTACAGTATTAAGCCATTAATAGCGGAAAAAAGAATGTGTGGTGATGAAACCCCTTTTGTTTTCATAACTGTAGTAATTTAGTGTATAAATTGGGCGTAATAATGTGTATAATATCTACCCAGCAGTGTCCAATATTATCAACACAAAATGTTACAAGAAAGACAAAGATGCATAGACTTACACTCTACTTCATATTCATATTCACCACATCATGAAAGCCAATGCCATCCTCACATAGTTTAGAAGCTGTGTTGTGTTGTACAATCAGCCAATGTTGTCATCAACAGAGCCACAGGAGCCCCGTGTGTCACTTTTCATCTAATCACACTGATTGTTTGTTGCTCTGTGGCATCTTTTCATGCCAGGAAATTGGGCCAAACAATTCAAGCTTTTGTGCTCGTCTCTGGCAGGCCTTTCGCACTGTAAGCAGTTACCAGGGAATTGGGCTTTATTCTGCTGCTTATCAGACAAACACAGAGACAATCTTTCATTTCGTGACCCTAAGAATATTTACAGAGCAAAAGAAAGAATAAATCTCTGAAGTTTTGGCATTTGTTGATATTACTAGCAAGGGTAAAAATAGTTTTGTACATTAATATAATGTTAGAAACAGAAAAAATCTAAAAATACAGAATTTTTTAATATGCATATCTGTAAATGAGGGTAAAGTTTCTGTATTTATTTAAACAAAAAATTGACTTTTTTTAGTTTGACTGCACTTTATACTGTAGATGCATTTTGTTGTGCCATTGCATTGTATTGTTTTTACCCTTTCACAAAATTTCTGTATGTCTGCCAGACAAAGCAGTCTATGCCTTTTACTGGATTATAAGATAAACCTGTAACATAGTCAGAGGTGGAACGAGTACTGAAAATCATACTTCGGTAAAAGTACTATTATTTACCTAAAAATGTGGTGCAAGTAGAGTAAAAGTACCTGTTGTAATTTTTTAAAGTATTAGTAACAAGTAGACCTTTTAAAAGTACCCAAGAAAAGTAAGTAGTGAATATTAGGCTGTAAAAAACATGTATTTACATGTAGTTTGTGGATGTGTGTAAACGTAACATTCTATAGTGGATTTAGTTATTGCCCAGCAGGTACACATCGTGATAAGACATTAATAATAGGTTAGATTTAGGTTGTAACGTCAGGTGACCAAAATTCTATATCTAGCCAGTGTCTAAGGACAACGTTTTTTTGATCTCCAATAATAACGTCAATTGACATGGATATTTGGTTTATTTTAGGTTATGTTAGAAAGTGTTTGAAATCCAATGTTAAACCAACATTTTACATCAACATCATATTGACGTCAAATACTGACATTTATTCATCAGGTATGGCAACCAAAATCCAACATCCGATAGACGTTATGTTGATAACGTCCATACAATGTCAAGCTGTAACATCATTAGATGTTGATATTTGGTTGATTTTAGGTTGGACAATGGACATTGATGTTGGCCTGACGTTGACCTCTGACGTCAACCCGATTGGCATTTCCAAACAAAATGCAACATGCCCATAACGTTGGGGTACAACATCAATCTGACATCATGTTGACATTTTGTGCCTGCTGGGTGTTTGAGGCCATTTCGGTCATTATACAGTAAACATCCATCATCTTCTCATCAGTGACATGCATGTGAACAGTCAATGTGGGAATGTGGGAGCTGGGTCAATAGATGTAAAGATTTTGGGCATCTAAGGCTTCCAAACAGTTTGCGGCAATTATAAATCGCCCATGTCTTAAGGTAGTTCATTACGATGCAATTTACCTTCTATGTGTGATTTGATTGGACCGGAATAAAGAGGACTGATTTTTTTAATCCCCATAGACAGGAAAAAATAAAGTAGTGACTGCAGGTTGAAGGAAAGTAGTGGAGTAAAAGTACAGACACGGCACTAAAATGTTTTCAAGGGAAAGTAAAAGTTCACATTTAAAAAAAAAAAAAACTTACAAAATTACAATTTCTGAGAAAAACTACTCAATTACAGTAGCGTGAGTATTTGTAACAAGTTACTTTACACCATTGTTAAAAAAGCCTGCACTTTAGTCGAAATCCCTTATCTAGCCCCTTTAGTGAAATGATCCAGAGATAAAAATTACTTTAATTTCCTTAATTCAGTATTCTGATGTTGATTTTTAACAGCTGAAAATGAACCTACCCTTTTTGCTGTACTGTAAATTTCACCAATTAGCAGCAATCTAAGTGCACCAGATGAGATCTTCAGCTCTGGGCACATCCATGTGTAAACTTTAAGTAATCCACATAAGTTTAAAATGTATTCGTTGTTTTTCTATGTATTTTACAGTTTCCAAGATTTGTGGAATTGTAGTGTGCAAACCTATGGATTATTCTGTTTTGTTTTCTCTGATTTGCATATAGTTTTTTTTTTTTTTTTTAATCAAACTAATGTAATTAAATGTAGTGATTCACTCCCAGATTCACAAATAAATCAGATTCAAAAATAAAAAAGGTCTGTAGCTTCTGAAAAAAATAATCCCGAATTATTATTTAGAAATGTCATAAATGTACACATCTAATTGGTATCAGTCATACTTTATGTAACTGTGTCATTTATAAGGCACTTTAATTTCAAAAGTCCCACAGTGCACTTATTACAGTTTCATTCCTCCTGGAGGAGCCTGAGGTGAAGTGCCTTTCTCAAAAGCGTAATTACATGGGTCACTGCTTGAATGAATCGAACCATCAGCCATTTGATTATGAGCCATGAGGATAATTACCTATTTCACAGCTTCTACACCACATGACTATTGTCTTAGTGCAGGAAAGTTTGTTTTGTTTAACACTTGTGTTTTTATTATTATTATTATTATTATTATTATTATTATTATTATTATTATTATTTAACTAAAATATGCACTAACTACATAAAAAGTTACTCAAATATTTAAGCATATTTCATACATTAATGCATACAATATTCTACACTCAAACTTTTATGCTGCATAGCATATGCACTGAACTCCATTCACACAATGTACTTTTTGTGTTTAAATAAATCACTTATACTATGTTTTGTCTATTAATTTACAATTTAAAAAAAAAGAATTGGTATGTGTAATTTTTAAAATAGTTAGGTGTTAGACCTCATTCAGTACCTGTGATCATGAGACCTTCTCCACAAACAAGGAGAGGGAGAAAATCACAAGACTTTGTCTTAGAAAAATAATTCCAGAAATTTTATTTTGCATGATATGCTCATCAAATCCAAAACATATACTTAGGAGAAGTGTGGTTTTTGATCTATTATTTTTTTGTATTAGTCGGTATATACCATTTACCACCTTATGATACTGTCCCAGCTGATGTATCACGATGCCAAGTAGTATTGCAATACTTTAATTCATAACTCAAATTATAAAGAAATTTGTCAGAAATACTATATTTTACATTATAGTAGGCCTACCTGAATTTAGTTCTTAATTCCCTTATTATTGAAAAAGGTATTGCTAGTACTTCACTTCACCTAAAATGTATTCCTCTTTTTGTTTATTTTGTAGGTAACTGACCAATAAAAATACATTAAAATAAAGATACAAATTATACCATAACTGAAATTTGTCACAGGAAGAGCATTTTTCTATCAAAATTAGGCTATAAAAAGTGGTCAAAAATTGTTTTAATATTTCCTGTTGCTATTTTAAGTTTTTCATCTTTTGTTTTTACAACAATCTAAAATAATTCAAAATGTCACTTTGTGAGTCGTTCTTTTTTTAAGGAATTGGCTCCACAGACTATAACAGGGTATATGCAGGAATCCTAAAGGTAATTTCAATACCTTTTTAAGAATCTTAAAAGACCTTCTCAAAATATTTTAAGCCTCATCGCCACTTTAAGTTCTAATCAGTATCAAACCTTTAACTTAATACACAGTAGTTAAATAAATCAATGGAGCACAACCATGCAACATAACTCTGATAAGCTCAGAAAAAAACAAACCTTGAAGGAATAAATTACATGGTTGTTTTCAGCGACGTTTTTCCATTTTGACGTCTGTTTCGTTTTGCGGCTTCGCTGCATGTGGATATAATGACATCACTATCCCGGAAATACGTGACATCATCGAAACAGAGGAGCTTGGCCGGACGCACCCAGGCCCAAACCAATCACATGGATTGACACCCTGCCTTAAAATAAAATGGTCTATTGTTTGTATTAGTGTGAGCATTTTAGTGACTTTTCCCTATCAGTTGTAGATAGACCATTAATGATGATACTACCATTAACAAATTACAGTGGCACTACAGTGGTTACTGGTTTTTAGCTTTCTTCAAAATATATATTTTTAGTGTGCAACAGAATAAGGAAACTTAAAAAGATTTAGAACCACTAGAGTCTAAGTTAATAGTAGGAAAAATTCCATTTTTGATTGAACTATGCTTTTCACACCATTATGTTCTTTAATTTACACAAGTGTCAATAGATTACCAGTGTATTTTTGCGCTATATACAAATTTGACCCCACATTTTTGATGAGATGTTCATGTGATGGCTACATGTGGTGCAGTGGGAAGCACGTTCATCTCACAGTAAGAAAGTTGCTGGTTCGAGCCTTGGCTGGGACAGTTGGCGTTTCTGTGTGGAGTTTGCATGTTCTCCCCGTGTTCGCGTGGGTTGCCTCCAGGCGCTCTGGAAGGGCATAAAACATATGCTGGATAAGCTGACGGTTCATTCATTCTGTGGCAACCCCAGATTAATAAAGGGACTAAGCCAAAAAGAAAATGAATGAATGAATGAATGTTTATGTGATGAAATGCTTGTGTCCCAGCATTTGTTCAGGGGGTGAACATCACCAGTCTGGAGACTCTGATCAGAGGCACCGTGGGTGGAGAAGCTCTGCTCTCTGTCCGCTACTCAAGCACCAGTCAGGACTCTCCTGTGATCAAATGGCAGCTGAAGAGGGACAAACCTGTCACAGTGGTCCAGTCCATCGGCACAGAGATCATCGGTAACCTGCGTCCAGAATACAGAGACCGGATCTTGGTGTTTGAAAACGGGACACTGCTGCTCCACAACCTCAGGCTCTCTGATGAGGGCACTTACGAAGTCGAGATCTCCATCACAGATGACACCTTCACTGGAGAGCGCAACATCAATCTCACTGTGGATGGTGAGACTGAAGTGTTTTTTTTTTAATTGACATTTTTGAAATTGAAATTTTTAAAAGAAAAACAGACATTGTAGATTATCTTTCAGATGTTGTCATCTTATGATTAGTAAGGGTGAATTTATTTAATTAAAATAAAGCAAAAGTAAAAGTATTAATGATAACAATATTGATAGGTCAATGTGTTTTCCAATTGTAATTAATCGGGAAAGGATTAATGGTGGCTCAGTGGTTAGCACTGTGGCCTCACAGCAAGAACTGGTTCGAGTCCCGGCTGACCCAGTTGGCATTTCTGTGTGGTGTTTGCATGTTCTCCATGTGTTGGTGTGAGTTTGCCTCCTAGTGCTGCGGTTTCACCCACAGTCCAAAGACATGCGGTATAGGTGAATTGAATAAACTAAATTGTCCATATTGTATAAGTGCGTGTGTGAATGAATGAGTATTAGTGTTCCCTGTACTATGTTGTGACAGGAAGAGCATCCGCTCAGTAAAACATATGCTGGAATAGTTGATTCCACTGTGGTGACTCCTGATAAATAAGAGACTACGCTGAAAATTAATGAATGAATGAAGTAAGGACAAATATTTTAAACAATACTTTTTGATCAATTTTAAATCCAATTTAACAATTAAAACTTATAACCACATAAAAAATATTTGGTTCTTGAGCAGTTCCCTTGGGCGGTTATGGATATTTCACTGTTACTGTATAAATAATCTGTTAACTGAAAGTTCTGCTAACTGAAAAACCCTGAAAAGTCCTTTAAAGCTTCTTAAAGTTTCTCTACCCTTTTTTAAGCGTAAAATTGCCCCATATACCCTCATTCACTATTCCCTACATTAGTTCCTACAGAAGATAATATAGTCCATATAAAGGAGTGAATGAAAACGAGACAGTGAATTTGAGTACTGGAATGGAGGCTGTTTTGTTTGTGCTTTCTTGGTTGATATACTCTATCCGTCAAAAGGATTTATACTTTCAACTTCTTAGTTAGACTATATGAAAGTTATTAAACACTTAACAGACACTATTAATAATGAAACAAATAACTTTGATTTTTGTCATGTATACAAACTTCAATAAACAATTATGTAATTATTTATTTAGACACAAGTAGGATTTCGCTGTGGTTGCCATCTTGTTTTCAAGACATTGAAATTCCTTCTGAATGCGAACACTTTTAACAATCTATTTTAGCAATCTAAGTCTTAAGCACATGGCACAAAAGCCGAATGTCTGAATTTACTTTTGATATTTTAAAGACCGAAAAATATGCTCTGCGCCTGGCGCATAATCTAACAGGGTTGTGCTTATTCTCTTACAAATTATATGTGTGTTTTGAGTGTAGTGTGCATAAAACCAATCAGAGTCTTATTTCATTCTCTTTAAGAGACAGTTGTGTTGCGCCATGGCACATTTGTTATTTACATGGCGGACTTTGTAAGTGAAAAAACTGAACGCTTCACTAGAGAGAAAACAGGTCATCTGCAGTGCAAGGATAAAGAATGAGCCTCCTCCATTCAACCTCTTTCTCTTTACTTTACTTTCAAACTTTACTTTGCTCCTTTACTTTCATGGATAAGGAAACAGTGTTGTACTCCACTGAAGACTTCAATTAGCCTACATATTTACTTTTATTTGCTAAGCGCAAAGATTTGTTTCAAAACTATTTCTAAATTTGGTTCTAATTTCCAGTAAATGAGTAAATGAACAATAATAACAAAGTATGGTCAAAAAATAGTATTAAGTAATGTGTAAGCGGTTGGACCCGCATAATTGCATAACTAACACATCCTGCTCTGGACTTTAGACCTGCTTTCAGTTGGTCAATGACGCAGATTTAAAAGCAACACGTCAACGATGCCCCTCAACACACCTCCTTTTTAGACCAGCACACCCATGAGTCTACAAAGTGGTGCAAATAGATTTGCTATTTAAACAAAATGGTGGAACATGTGAAAATGAGAGTTGCATTCGTGGACAATGTAGCTTAGCAATGTTTTTTTTTTTCTGCATAAATGTATTAATTAAAAATAAGGTCTTTAAAATAAGTTAAATTAATGCAGGACTGGAGTTTTTACTTCTGGAACTCAACTGTTGCACTGACACTCCACACTGAAATTACCAGGCTGCAGTTCTCTGAAACATAAACCCTGCCTACTTTAATTTGATTGGCCATCACAATCATTTTGTGAATAAAAAACACTGTTAGAGGGCTGATGCGGAACAAGCTACCTTTTAAATCTTTTTGTCATTTCACAGCAGAGCGTTTCTTAATAGAGTTGAACAGAGCAGTGCAAAAGTTTCAAACATTGTAGGTAAAGCAGGGACTTTTCAGTATCCTTTCATCACATTAAAACATTGACCGGTGTAGATATTTCAGAATCATTATCATGCCATTAAATCATGTTAATAAAATTCTTTCTGACACTTTGACAGAGCCTATCTCTAAACCACACGTCTATATGTTGGCCTCCACTGTTCTGGAACTGACGGAGAACTTCACGTTAAACTGCACTCATGACACAGGGACAAAGGCCATCTACAGCTGGGCAAAAGGTGGCCATCCATTGCTAAATGAGACGCGTCTGCTGCTGTCTTCAGATCAGAAGGTGCTAACCATCACACGTGTACAGATGTCAGATGATGACGTCTACAGCTGTATGGTGGAGAACCCAATTAGTAGCATGAGAAGTCCAGCAATCAGACTCACCGTTTACAGTAAGAATAAGTCATTTTAACTATCATTATTATAATTATTTTTTTTATTAATAGTAGTAGTAGCAGTAGTATTTAGTGCAACTCAAGCTTCTGGAAATTATGTGGTGACATTTTTGGAAAGAATTATATTAAATTGCTACTTGCTTCTAACATGACTTCTAACATGAGGGCAAATTTGCATAAGAGTGCAATTCCAAAACTGCGCCAGTAAGGTAGAAATTTCTGCAGATGATAAATGTGCATATTTAAGAAGAAAGACATAACATCTAGGGTGAAGCAGTGGCGCAGTAGGTAGTGCTATCGCCTCACAGCAAGAAGGTCGCTGGGTCGCTGGTTCGAGCCTCAGCTTAGTTGGCGTTTCTGTGTAGAGTTTGCATGTTCTTCCTGTGTTCGCGTGGGTTTCCTCCGAGTGCTCCAGTTTCCCACACAGTCCAAAGACATGCTGTACATGTTAATTGGGTAGGCTAAATTGTCCGTACTGTATGTGTGTGTGAATGTTTCCCAGAGATGGGTTGCGGCTGGAAGGGCATCCACTGCGTAAAAACTTGCTGGATAAGTTGGCGGTTCATTCTGCTGTGGTGACCCCAGATTAATAAAGGGACTAAGCTGATGAGAAAATGACATAACATTTAATTTTCATATTGGAAAATACAATAACTGTACAAACTAAGGCACACAGAATTTACTATGATCTATTATGTTGATTTTGTTTGTGATTTAACAGTTCAGGCACAAGTAGAACACATCGTATGCTGTCGGAGGAAAATAAAATTGTGCTGGGATTACGTTACTCACCCTACACTCTCAGAAAAAAATGGTACAATGTTGTACCAAAGAAGATACAAACCCTTGTCACTGGGGCAGTACCTTTTTATGAAACAGAATTGTACCTTAGGACAAAGAAACAAATTTATATCATAGCAGTTTGTACCTTCAAACACATGATTTGTACCATGGGGAAAAAAAAGTACCTTTGGTTTTTAAACCTGCAGATACTATATTGTACCTTCATCAAAGATACAAATCTGATCCATAATGGTACCGCCACAGTGATAAGACACTTTGAACCTAACAGTGTCAAAATGCCTTATATGTTTAGTTTACAATACTTATAGTTTTTGTTTTACAACTTGTTTTGTATTATAGAACTTAATAATTTATGTTTATGAGTTTTTTTTAAACATGATTAAAAATTATGATTCTTGTTTTAATATGGAAATTATTCATGAAGTCACTTTGCCTTTCCAGTCATATTTATTTTCATAGGTGCTGTAATAAAGGACTTGTCCAACACTATTAATGAGAATAATTGTGTACTTTCATTTCAAGAGGTATTTTCTGTACCATACAACCTTTACAAGGGTGCAAAACTGTTCCTTAGGAAACATTATTTGTACCACGGTGTACCTCTTTTTTCTGAGAGTGTAGTTGTTTGTTCTATGTTGTATATTCATTCCTGAAGCAAATCATAAATTACATATTTGACATACACTCCATACACTTACTGTTCTCTGCAGTGCCTCCTCCTGGCAACACCAACTGCCTCCGTTTCAAGCACAACATATAAAACATGCTTTTTAGGCATTAAATAATGATGCAAATCCTGGTAATTTCAGGAGCACAATGTTTATTGGTAACCCGCATAGTGTGATTGATTTAAACAACCTTCTCTCTTAAAATTTGAAACTACTGTAAATGAATAATTAGTAAAGGTCAGGTGCAATAATTGCTGTGTCCATGCCTTTTCATAGTTATTCTTCGTTCTGTGTGTTTAGTGGTAACACTTTATGTTGATGGTCCTTATTGCACATTTTGTTGACTAAAAGTTGCATTGCAACTACATGTCAGTTACTTCTCAGTTGAGTATTAGTAGACTGTATGCTTAATATCTGTTGATACTGCTCCGTCAATAATTGGCTATAAGAAACTTTGCAAGAACATGTCAACATACATTATTCCCTACCTAAACCTTAACCCCAACCTAACATTCTACTCATAATCTATTGAGAATTAGTTGGCATGTAGAGATACATGTAGAAGATGTAACTTAAATTCAATAAAATGCGTTAAAGGGACCATCAAAATAAAGTGTTAGTTAAATTTTTAGGAAAAGCATTTCAAGTTTTAAAGTTTTCAATCTACTGTTGATATTTGGATTAGACATAATACCACTTAAAAGCAATTGTAAATATCTAGATAAGAACTGTTACTAGAAATAATTACAAAAAATGCTGTATAAATAATAATTACTATTTCTTGAACAGGGGTGGGCAAACTTTGTCCTGAGGGCTGGTGTCCTGCACAGTTTAGCTTTAACTCTAATCAAACACACCTGCTAGATTTTCCTGATTAGCATGTTCAGGTGTTTTTTATTAGTGTTGGAGCTAAACTGTGCAGGACCCCGGCCCTCCAGGACCAAGTTTGCCCTCCCCTGTTCTAGAACCTAATGAATAACTAGGCCTATTCAAAATGTACTTTTCACAATTGAAATGCAAACTAGACAAAACTGTATGATTTATATCTCAATGACAGTTCAAATGCACAAAGAAAAGTCAGTAAAAGTCAAATGCACTAAAATTTGTTACTATAGTTAACAATAGAATAGTTCTATTGAGTATTGAAATGCACTATAAAAAGGCTCATGTAATAAAAGAGTGCAAGTACACTTTTTGGTTTTGGCTAAATAATGAACAAAGTAAAGAAGTTAGACAAGCCACATTTTTTTCCAACAACACACAAGCCTCTCCTACAAATGAGCACTGAAAGCATGACTGCCGGATCCATGGTTTCTTTGCATTATTGCCAAAAGTGTCAGGAGTAAAAATGTTACTATTTACCCCACCTGATGGGTAAGCTGTAACAGACAGAGGTTGTAACACATGCTTTAAAAGGCAGCTCATTTAAATTCAGTTTACTTTAAATAGTGTCCTTCCTCAAATTTATTTATCTATTGGATAAACACATTTTGATTTATTTGCATTATTATACATTATTATACAATGCATTTATTTGCATTATTAGCAATAAAATATTTTTTATTAAAATATTTTCTATTAAAAAACATTTAATAAAAATAAAAATAGTTACTAGTAGCTTGTACATACACTTAAAGTCAGAATTATTAGCCCCCCTGTTTATTTTTCCCCCACTTTCTGTTTAACAGAGAGCAGATTTTTTTTCAACACATTTCTAAACATAATAGTTTTAATAACTCATTTCTAATAACTGATTTATTTTATCTTTGCCATAATGATAGTAAATAATATTTGACTAGATATTTTTAAGGTACTTCTATACAGCTTAAAGTGACATTTAAAGGCTTAACTGGGTTAATTAGTTTAACTAGACAGTTTAAGGTAATTAGACAAGTTATTGTATTCAATGGTTTGTTCTGTAGACTATCGAGAACAAATATAAAGAGGATAATAAATTTGTCCTTAAAATGGTGTTTAAAAATTTTAAAAATGTTTTTATTCTAGCTGAAATAAAACAAATAAGACTTTTTCCAGAAGAAAAAAATATTATCAGACATACTGTGAAAATTTCCTTATTCTGTTAAACATAATTTGGTAAATATTTAAAAAAGAAAAAACAATCTAAGGGGAGCTAATTATTCTGACTTCAACTGTAAATATTAAGATGCTTCATAGATTAAATGTTAAAAAAGCTTCCAATATATTTTGCTTAAAAGCATGAAATATCCTTAAAACAGCATTTTTTCCTAAAAAAAAGATTGGTCACACTTTATTTTGATAGTCCGTCTGTTGAATTTAAGTTCCATTGCATCTACATGCCAAATAATTCTCATTAGATTATAAGTAGACTGTTAGATTGGGGTTGGGGTTAGGTTTAGGGTACTTGTTTCTTATAGTCAGTTAAACGTCTGTTGAAGGATCAGTATCAACAGATATTAAGTAGACATTCAACTAATACTCAAATGGACCATCAAAATAAAGTATTACCAACAGATTTATTGCAACTTAATAATGGTCGTTAAATATGGTACGTTTGCTGTACAAATAACTTTATTTTGTTATTACTTATATCGTTGATTCAGAATGGTCAAATAATTCTAATTATTAGTTTAGCCAGAATCATTTAGCTCTAACTAATAATCTGCCCCAAAAACATAATCGTGTTTGAAGCTAAAAAACATCCGCAAAATAAATGTATGAGTTTTGCAAAAATGCTGGTAAAGGCATACTTTTTCAATGGGCTTGGTAAGCGTTTTTCCTGTGCAACTTTTTAATAACTAAAATGGCTTATAATGTCATTATGTTTGCAGAAAGGAGCTCCCTTTATATCATACTGTCTACAGTGGGCATCTTCCTCCTCATCACCCTTGTAACTGTGTGTGCTTGCTGGAAACCAACAAAAAAGTATGAATTTTTTTTTTTTTACCCCTCATCTATCCTTAAAGTAACCCTATTTGTGTGGATAAACATTCATATACATTTATTAACAGATCAAAAAGACAGAAGTCCAAATCTATACCAAGAACTATTCCACCAAACCACCACATTAGGTACCATGATGTCAAGCCAGAGGGTATGTAATATATAATTCTGTTGTTACTTCATTTTACATTGATACTGTCTACATTGAATATTTTAATTTAAATTTTACACTAAACTGCCACTTTAGAAGGTACACCTTACTAGTACTGGGTTAGACCCCCTTTTGCCCTTAGAAGTGCCTTAATCCTTTGTGGCATAGATTTAATAAGCTATACTGGAAATATTCCTCATTATGGTTTACCTGTATAATCGTATAAAAGAATTGTATATTGTTTCTATATATATTACAAATGGATTTTATTATAATTCATTATACTTATGTAATTATGTTAATTTTTGTTTCAAGAAGATGCCATCCCCATAATGACTGACCACGAGCGCAGGAATCCTGTATCGCTCTACATTTTAAAGGAAAAGGTATTATGACATCATTATTTAATTGCATCTCTCCCATCACACCGGCTTTCTGTTTAAAAATAGGCTTTTGAGTGGATGAGTGCTCCATTTCCTTAGTGAAGCTGTCTGTGAGTCAGAGAGCAAAGGCCAAACCTGCAACCACATGACTGCTTCACATATTAATATTCATGTTTTACCACATATTCTAATACACAGCAGAACAAACTTTGAGATGATTGTGTTTCTGTGTTATAGTCTTGTTGGCAATGCTTTTGATTACAGCCTGCAATTTTAATAAGTAAACTGAATTTACACAGTAGGAATGTGTAAGTTTCACGGGGCAATATGAAATGTTTGGGCAAAAGTAAAAGTAATAAGGTTACTTTCTTTAGACCCTGTAAATGTTATTGATTTACTATATGAGAAACAATGGGAAAAAAACTGAGTGTAACCAGTAAAAACATGGAACATTTTGAAGCAAAAATTACTATATACCAATAGGCTACAGGATGGGAGAAAAAAACTGAAAAAACTGAGAAAAAAAAAAGTGCAAATTTGTGATCTTTGTTTGGATTCATCGGATCTATTCTCGCTGCTAAAATAGACCAAAACAGTCACTATTTCATCAGAAATATATAATATACTTTAAAAAAGTTTACATAATGTATAAAATATACCAGGATTCCGAAGCGGGAAATTGACTGACATAAAAAGTGACCAATCACAGTCGACCTTGTCTAGATTTGCGTGAAACGTAAGGGCGGGACAAAGGCCTTTCTGCGTTACAGTGGCAGAAAACAACTTAAAAACAAATGTTTTATTGGAATTATTTACTTACTTACTTACTTTTCGGGTGTTTTCACTATGGACTTAGGCCCCGTTTACACTAATGCATTTTTGTTTTAAAACGTATAAGTTTTGCTATGGTTACGCCATCCGTCCACACTACGCCGGAGTTCTCGAGCGCCGAAAACGGAGCGTTTTGAAAACGCAGGAGGGACCGTTTTCATTCCAAAACACTGCTGCTCCATTTCAGTGTGGATGAGGAAAAACGGAGACATCTGAAAACGGAGGCTGGACTGCTGATGGTCCCTATCACATGACCATAACACATGGCTTTAACGCTACCGGAAGACAGTTCTGTAAACAACAACATGGGCACAGAAATGGGAGCGTTGTTTGCACTATTGTCTGTTTTAGGCACCATTGTGCAGTTATTCATTTGTTACGTTTAGTAACAACTCAACCTCGTCGTCTGTCCACAAAAATACCTCTCTTGCTTTCTTTGCTACCATGTTTAATGTTCAACAGGCGTTTGTTGACTAACAATAACCAAATGCCGAGCGAGACGCATACTTTCTGTTTATACTAGAACGCGAATGCTCAGAGTGCACAAATGGTCACGTGATATATGTTTTAGGTGGCGTAGTGTGGACGGAGATGTGTTCAGAGACGCTAGGTGAAACGCTAGTGTGGACGCAGATCGTTTTTGATCTCAAACGCCGTTTTAAAACTAAAACGCACTTGTGTAATTGGGGCCTTATCCAGCACGTTTTTCCGCAGCGGATGCCCTTCCAGCCGCAACCCATCTCTGGGAAAACGTTAGGTTGTTTTTAATATATATATATATATATATATATATATATATATATATATATATATATATATATATATATATATATATATATGGCACTGTGGTCCAAACTGTAATGAAAGGTATTGATCACAGCCAGATGCCAGGGACTTTAACCCCACATCCCCCTCCCCCACCAGTCATCTGTGGCGAGTCCTCGGATGTCACTTATTGTTATTATGCTGCTATCCCACAGAGACAGATGGCGCAAGTTAAATCTTTTAACTGTCCAATCAGATACAGTTTTTCCAATTCCAAAACACAGGTGATCACCAGACCCATCCCAACCCCCCAATAATTACAAGGTATATATAACATTTATGTGCTTTAAAGTGGTGATGGTTACCCCAAACATGTTATATTGTTCTCTTAGATTATTACTTTAAAAGGTAAGATGTATATTCAGTTTACTTCCTATGTGGTTTGCTGGCAACAATCTATAGTGTTACCGTCTTGCTAATATGAAAGAGCTGTAACTGATGTAGGCGTGTAAAATGCCTCACTTGACATCTCCAGGATTCTCCTCCTGGCGAACCGGCATCAGCATGTGAAACCTGCACCTCCAACAGCAGCAGTCCTCCAAGCTACAGCAGCTCAATACCTCCTCCATCTGACTCACTGGAGCCGCCAGCTCGCTCCTCTCGCCGATACCCTCGCACCTCCACCAAATCCCCACCGCATCACCGCCGCAGGAGAGGACACAGCGAGAGTCCCCCGGCGCCTTCCTCTCCCTATGGCCGGGAGTCCGGTCAAGCCCCTCGATCCCCTGTGTCCTTTAATCCAGCCAGAAAGCCTCAGGATCCCTCTACCCCTCCACAAGATCCCAGAGGCTCCCCAAAAACATAGACTACTGTATATGATGGAAAAAGACAGATGCTGTATAGTCATGCACAGATACTTTTATATTAATGTATGTACATTTGTAAATACACATGAGTCTACGCTCCAAAACTATGCACTAGTAGATGAAAACATATAGTGAATGTTCGGTCGATTTAACATGCTAGGAAATCTTCACTTTCAGAGATGAAATGTGATTGTGTTGGCTTGACAAAGCCTTTTAGCTACACCCAGCAAACCCAGCACAGTCCTTCAATGCATTTTCTGACACAGGTAATCTAAAGCCTAATTTATACTTCTGTGCTGATTGAACACTGTAGCCCCATAGTATATATCACTACAATTGACACTGTTTTGAGCTTAAGTTCTGTTTGCCTTGTTTTCTACAATGTACGATAGCTTGCGATGGATTTTCATATGTTTTTTGTTGATGCTTAAAGTTTAGGTCTCGAACAATCGTAACTAAAAATTAGCAGATCAGATCATGTTTGGAGCTGATTGATACTGAAATTACTAAAACTAAAATGCAGAAATTATTGCTGTTGGTTGAGGTGGGTGGCACGGTTGTGCAGTGGGTGATGTTGCCTCACAGCAAGAAGTTCACTGGTTCGAGTCCCAGCTGGGTCAGTTGGCATTTCTGTGTGGAGTTTGCATCATCTCCCCGTGTTGGCATGGGAGAATTGGGTAAGCTAATTTTGTGTTATTGATAAGTTGGACAGTTGTGCTCTATAAAGTGGCCGGTGACAGCCATGCATGATCACAAAGCCACTCGTGTTTACAGATTGTAAAAATGCAAAATGCAGGATATACAGATTGTAAATATATTCAATAGCCCTATTCACACATACAGACCTTTGCCTGTAATTTTCCGGAAAAGGAAGTTGTAACAATTTTCTGGAATGCTGCAATTTTGCCAGAAAGAGAATGTTTATGTTTAGAACGCGCCGACATAAGACGTCTACTCCAGCCAATCAGAATATTCAGACGCATTCACATTAACGCTTTTTAAGAAAATAAAAGCCTTTGAATATTTTTTCATTGACATTTAGCAATGTACACATTTAGCATACAAATTGGTAAACAAGACAAATTGTCCATAGTTTATGTGTGTATGTACTGGTCCTTAAGGTTGGGGTTTGGGGGTTGAGCATTGGCCTAACAACCCACCTCATAAATATTAGATGTTTCCAAACACCAACATGATGCGGCTAAATATCAACTTTAATATAAACGGCCCTGGGAGTAAGTAAGTTGGTTGAAACAATAGGAATGGCTGACTAAACCATTTGAGGCAAAGGTGAACTGGTCCATGTAATTGTGAAGTGTAGTTTAATTTCTGGGAAGATGCTAATGGCACATAACTACAAATGTCATTAAAAATTTCAGAAGATTTAAACAGGTGCATGGACCCTTTTCTAGAAAGTCCATTTGTGGTTGTAAACACCTTAGAACTGCTACTTTTTTGCAGATTATGTAATTGATGGTTGGGGCTCTGATTCTCCATCTTATTTGGAAATCTTCGACCGTTCATTTCTTCTGTTCAGTTGAAATCAGATGTTCAGTTTATGTCAGAAATGTATATACACCTTGAAAAATATACAAAATGGTAATTATTTTACCATTATTAGAGGGGTCATATAAAATTCATTATTTTTCTTGGTACTGAAATAAATATAAAATATTCAAAATATTCCACATAAAATGGCATTTACATATAGCCCACAGAAGAAACTAATAATACACTAAATCCTAATACTGAGTAGTAAACCTAAATGATTTACAGTTGTGTCTTTTGCTTAGTGATAGTTCACGAGTCCCTTGTTTGTCCTGAACTGTTAAACTGCATGCTGTTCTTCAGAAATCATTTGCTGACCCACAGATTCTATGTTTTTCTCTATTTTCTGTATTAAAACCCTTTCCAAAAATGAATTTTCACTCTGAGGACAACTGATTACAGAAGTGGTTAAACTGAGGTGTGAAAACTCAGTTCTAGGGCCACTGTCCTGAAGAGTTTAACTCTTTAAGATTACAATTTAACACACCAGAAACAGCTATAACCAGAGTTTTACTTGCCATCCGAGAAGTTTCCAGGTGGGTGTGTTTAGCCAAGTTGAAAGGCATGCCAGTGGCCCTGTACTATGATTAGCGGACTAACTTCTTAAGTTTTAAACTAGTTTGCACCAAGTCTGGGTTTTGATACCATTAAGCTAGTGTAACGGAGGCCAGCTAGTAAGTGCTGTGCTGGTAAACCTCACTCCTCTGACCTCTAAAGCTGCTCTTGCGACAGATGCTCGAGGCCATGGTCTTTAGTCTCCTTGTTAGAGCAACCGACTCCCATGCAGAAGGTCGCCGGTTTGATACCAGCTCGGAGCAGGTTGGGATGTGTAGAACCAGTGGGGTTACACTAGCTCAGTTAATACCATGAAAACAAAGAGAGAATCAAATCAAGCTGCCACATGAAAGCCTAAAGATGGTTCAAACTAAACTGAAAATTAACTAGCTCAGCTAATCTAGCTTCATGGTACATGTTGCATCAACTGACCTAGAAGAACAGTTGTCATGTATTCAAACTGCCCTAGTAGGCTATTCAAACTACACTGCAAAAACTGTTGTATAGACCAGGCTTTGTCAAGCGAGCAGTGAAAGTTTGTCTTCTTTTCTTTTTTTATTATATTTTTTTAGGCTTGTTAATATTTTGGTGAATGTAAATGACAAGTAGGGAATGTTAAAATGTTAAATAAAACATTGAAGAAGACCTACTTGGAATCTTTCACATTTCTGATGTTATTTTGTTGCAGTGTTTCTCCTGCTAATAATGTAAGCATTATGTAACAGTGTCTCTCTCACTGAAGTTCATACTGTTCCTGGAAACAGGGGGACAATGGGCATGCTGATTCACACAAAAGACACAGTAGTCTCCTTGTTATTCATGGGCATGGCCGTTGAGAACAAGCATTGTAAAGGGAGCAGGCTGTTCTTCTGTTGATTCAGTTGAAGACTGAAACATAAATAAAAGAACAAAATGCTAATATATTACCCCATGGAAAAACAAAGTCTCTAAAACTGTTTCAGGCATGAAGAAAGTTTTTAAAGCAAAATTGAGTGTTATAACATAACAATGACTATTTCAATTGTAACTTCTAACAAGTTTACCAGTTTTATCTGTTTTAAACATGTTTAGTTTGCAGTCAGGTGTTAAAATAACTTCATTATAGACAAAAATTAAATAATTTATACAAAATATACATTATATTTATAACAAGACATTTCACGTGTGAAATTCTTTCTAAAACTGACCTATTTGATCATATTTGTGTCGCTTCAAACTGTTATGCAGGGAACTAAAACCAGCTGGCTTTCTTTTCCCCATCGAACATACATTCACGAGCACACTAGGCGTGACCAACTCTCTAAATTTATGATTGACGTTATTGTCGACGAATCAAATCTTACCATTGCAAAGCTATAGCCAATAGAATCATAGATAGGCGGGGAGAAACGTGTGTTGATTCCGTTAACGTCATTGACAACGGCGATTTAATTCTGACAGACAGTTGCAGAAGAGGGAGGCCAAGATGGCTGCGTACGATGTAGTCGCGTGTTAGTGGTGTCTTCAGGAACTTTGGAATAGGACAATAATGTAACTGTAATTCCGATTTTTTTTTGTGGCAAATGAGAACCTAACTTGCACTTTTAACTGCCTTGGTCTATTTATGGGCAAAAAGAAAACGAAACAGGTCCGTGGAAAAACCGCACGTGTTAATACGATGGCTTCAGAAGATAAAGCTAACGACAATGCTAACAACACACAACTCCAGGACACGGAGACGTCAGATAAGTTGGATGACAGCAACTGGTTTGATTCAAATCCAGAAGTAAGTGATCTACTCATGACACCCTTACCGGACACCCCGTTAAAACAGCCGGCTTCAAAAAAGACGAAAAGAGATCTGTTAGACCACCATGACAGCTCGTCAGAGATTCTGTCAGCGATCCACGAACTCTCCGGGAAATATGATAAAATGCTCCAAAAAATATCTGCCATTGAATTATCTACCGGAGCAACAGCGAAACAGATGGAAACTTTATCTTCGACCGTGACGCAACTTGTAATGGACGTTGCTGTACATAAAGAATCCTTATCTGCTATATCCACCGAGATTCAAGCAATCAAAAAGACGACCAAATCCATGAAACTAGAACTCGGGGAATGCAAAAGATACAGCTGGAAATGGACCCTGAAATTACATGGTGTCAAGGAGAAAGAGGCAGAGAACACCCGAGGAGTGACAGTTGATATTCTCAGCAATGTTGTTCCTGGAATGAGTGATGACTTAGAAAGAGTTATCGACATCGCACATCGAGTTGGTCCAAAAAGGATGGATGGGAAACCCAGATCTATCATCATTCTCTTTGCACTTCGTCGTTTCAGAGACATCATCTGGCAAGCAGCCAAAGGATGCAAATTTTTAAACAGCAACCAACTCCGCCTGACAGAAGCGCTATCCCCAGAAGATCGTCTCGCCAGAGAGAAACTATGGCCTCTGATCAAACAAGCTAGAGATAAGGGAAAGAAAGCTTCTTATAGAAGCTCTTATGCGTTAATTGATGGCCAAAAATACAACTATTCTGAAGTAGAATAACTCTCTTGCACCAAGGAATGTCAGTTTTCGGGTGCTAGCAAATAACATGTCTCTATTTTGTGGGGGAAAAAAAAAAAAAAAAAAAAAAAAAAAAAAAAACCCTGTTGCTGAATAGTTTATGTAGCCATAATGTTCCAATGGACCAATAATTTAACTATACATAGCCCATCCTTAAATTTGTATGCATACATACTTTGATATTTTAAGGTGTAAATTCTTGTTTTAATGTTATTATACGTTGCTAGTTGCACATTGTTCCTATTCCTATTTACTCTAATTTCTGTTTAGTAGGTTTAGCTGTAGTGTTCGTTCTAGTTATGGAATACAAGTTTAATTCATTTTCTGTGTCATCTTTAAATACAAGGGGTTTAAGAGAAACTATAAAAAGGAAAGCAATTTTTTTATTTTGTAAAAGTAGTGAAGCAGAATTTATTTTTTTGCAGGAAACACACTCTTGTGAAACTGATGTGAAGTTCTGGAAATATCAGTGGGGTAATTCTATCTTCTGTAGCCACGGCACCAACCACTCAGCAGGAGTTATGATATTATTACACAAATTCAATGGCAATATATTGGAATCTAAAATGGCAGAAGAGGGCAGATGGATTATTTTAGTAGTTAAAAAGGACAATTCCACATTTATTCTTTGTAATATATATGGACATAATAATAAAACCGATAATAGTAAAATGTTTAATAAATTATCCATAGATCTTAAAAAAATAATCTCTAAATATCCAGATTCTTTAATAATTTTAGGTGGTGACTTTAATGAGTGTGTTAACGATGCAGTGGATAGATTTCCCTCTAAAGCAACAGAATACCAATTGCTTAATAGTAATATTGCTTTTTTGTGTTCTAAATTTAATTTAACCGATTCATGGCGTTTCTTTAATCCAAACAAAACAGAATTTACATGGTCTAATAAAAACAGGTCATTGCAATCTAGGATAGATTTTTTTCTAATTTCTACTTCTGCCCTACCAATTGTAAATGAGTCATTACATATAATTGCTCCTTTAACTGATCATAAATTGGTTAAATTACAATTGCTATGTAATACAGGTAACAACTCTAAACTGAGAGGTTATTGGAAATTTAATAACTCATTACTTAAAGATAAGTTGTTCAATGACAAAATAAAAGAGCTTTTTGCAGATAATTTTTCTGAATTACCTATTATTAATTGTAAAAGTAAATGGGAATATTTCAAATATAAAGCTAGACAAATAGCAATTAAAAGAAGTAAAGAACTTAAAAAAAACAAAAATAAAAACATTCAAAACCTTTTAGACAAAATAAATTCACTATTGCAAAAAAAGTTGACCCCTAATGAAGATTTGCTCTTAAAAAGTTTAAACGCTCAATTAGACAATGCTTTTTTAGACCTAGCTAAAGGTTTCTATATCAGATCAAGAGCTAAATGGCTTGAAGAGGGTGAAACTAACTCAAGTTATTTTTTTGCACTAGAGAAAAGAAATTATAAAAGAAATTCGCTTACTGCTCTTAATATTGAGGGCTCAACCTGTACAAATCCTTGTAAAATCTCATCTTTCGTGGCCACGTTTTATAAAAATCTTTACTCATCGAAGTTTGATGCTTATAAATGTGAAGAATTTTTTCACACAATTGATACACACATACCCATGATTGATGAAGATTTTGCCAACTTTTGTGATGATGATTTAACTAAAAAAGAAATACAGACTGCTCTATTCTCTATGAAAAAAAATAAATCCCCAGGTATTGATGGGTTCTCTGTAGAATTTTATACGCACTTCTGGTACTTAATACAAGACATATTATTAATGCTGTATAATGAATGTATTGCTGAAAAAGAAATGTCAACTACTATGAAACAAGGAATCATATCGTTAATACCAAAACCAGAAAAGGATTCACTTTTAATCGACAATTGGAGACCCATTACATTATTAACAGTAGATTATAAGATATTAGCATTGGTATTTTCTAACAGATTAAAAACTAAATTAAATCTTATGATTACAGAATCTCAATCAGGCTTCTTAAATGGTAGACATATTAGTAACAATATAAGATTGGTCTTGGATCTAATTGATTATGCAGATTTTATTAATTCTAAAGCTATAATTTTTTTTCTTGATTTCTACAAAGCGTTTGATACAATAGAACATAAATTTCTTTTACACTCTCTCAAAAAATTTGGCTTTGGCTCAACATTCATTAATGTAATAGAGATGTTTTATAAAGATATATCCAGTTCTATTATTATTAACATGTTTACATCTCAAAGATTTACATTAGAAAGAGGCGTACGCCAGGGCTGTCCTATTTCCCCTTTTTTATTTATTTTAGTTACAGAATTACTCTCTATATCTCTTATTAATAACCAAGACTTAAAAGGCATAAATATTTTTGAAAGAGAAATAAAAATTTCTCAACTGGCGGACGACACCACTTTATTTTTAAAAGACAGTTATCAAATTAACGATGCCATAAAATCAATAAAAAAATTTTCGGATGCTTCGGGTCTTCATTTAAACTTAGATAAATGTGAAATCTTAACTCTGTATGATTGCAATGACTTGATATTAAATGGTATACCAGTAAAAAAAACGGTTAAATATTTAGGTATATATATTAATAAAAATAACTTAGAGAGACAAAAACTAAATTTTTCTTCTAGAATAAAAAAAACTCAGAATATCCTCAATCTATGGCTACAAAGGGATCTATCCATTTACGGTAGAGTTCTTATATCAAAAGCTGAAGGTCTCTCCCGCCTAGTATATCCTTTATTATCTTTAACTGTTAATGATAAAATTAAAAAAGATATAAATAAATTATTTTTTGATTTTATTTGGAAAAATAAGTCTCATAAATTAAAAAAGGCATTAATTTCACTTAACAAAGACAAAGGAGGATTAGAAGCAATTGATATAAATAATTCTATAAATTCTTTCAGAGTCAGTTGGATTAAAAGATGTTTAACTAGTTCAAATTCAATATGGTTCTTTATTCCCAATTATTGGTTTAATAAAATTGGCGGTCTCCCATTTATTTTGAAATGTAATTTTGCTCCAAATAAACTTCCTATAAAATTAACAAATTTTTACCAGCAAGCATTACTGGCTTGGAAAATATGCTACTCTCATAACTTTTCTCCGCATAAAACATTTTTATGGAACAACACTGATATTACAGTTAAGAGTAAATCTTTATTTTATTCCAATTGGTATGACAGAGATATATTACATGTATTTTCCTTATTTGATGACTTTGGGAACTTGTTAACTTATGAGCAGTTTATGAAAATTCATCAATTTCCAATACCATTCAAGAAATTTAACATAATTGTAAATGCTATCCCAAAAGAATTAATACATCTAACAAAAAATCATATTTTGTATATAAATAAAAAAACCATAGAACCCTCCTTATTATTAGAAGGTATTAGTGTATATGATAAGAAGTGCAACAACAAACTTATCCTTCGAATTCTCCAACAAAAAAATCAAATTGCTCCAAGAGGGAAATCTTATTGGTCAGCATTAATAGAGGACATTAATTGGAAAAGAACATGGCTTCTCCCATATAAATATGTAATCCCAAACAAAGCAAAGGAAATACATTTTAAAATTCTACACAAAATATACCCGGTCAATGCATTAGTCTCAAAATTTACTGATATTGCAGATACTTGTTCCTTTTGTCAGGAAAATGAGGAAACTCTGACTCACATGTTTTTTTCTTGTAAAACTTCACAAAAGTTTTGGTCTGATTTATATAATTATTTGAATAAATCCCAAGCAACAAAACAAACTTTTAAACTGAAAGAAATTATATGTTATTACTCTAATCCCATGAACAAAAATAAAGAATATATATATAACTTCTTCATATTATATGCTAAATTCTTCATCCACAAACAAAAATTTCTGAAATCCTCTCCCTCGTTTGCCCATTTTTTAATTGAAATTGATTCCATACTTAAAGCTATTCGTCTATCTAACAACAAGAAATTCTGCAAGTTAATAGAAACTTATGAAAATGTCATGCTTCCAGTGTGTAAATAATTAATGCTTTCTGTAATTATTTCTATTTTTTATTTTTTTTATTTATCTATTTTTTATTTAATTTTGTACCTGCCCCTTCCTCATTTCGTTCTCTTTTTTTATTCTCTTTCTATTACTCCTTTCTTTTTAGTTATTATTCTTATAACTTTGTAATTGTATATTCTTGTATTCCAGTCTTGTACAAATTACTTCCTGAGTTATATTGTAAATTTCTTCTTTTCTAAATAAAAGTTTGTTTGAAAAAAAAAAAAAAAAAAAAAAAAAAAAAAAAAAAAAAAAAAAAAAAAAAAAAAAAAAAAAAAGACAGACAGTTGCAGAAGTTATAAATATATAATTAAACGATTTGCAAAACGTATGAGTCGCTGTGCATTAAAACAGACTCATGTAAAAAAAATTGTTCCTGCTCCAAGGATCGATCTTGTCGAAAGTTGAGGATCGAAAATGTCTGAACTTTAGTGACTCCCCCAATGCCAAATGATAGATAACGCTTCAGTCATTCAGTTTTAAACCGAAATGAGTCAAGCTAGGACCGCCAGAGAAAGGGTTTGCCTTTCGATAGTACAGAAGAATCTGTTGAAGGAGAATAAAATGGTAGGTTGTGGAAGCAGGAGACAGGTCAGAGATGTGAAAGTGTTGGCCGAGAGGAACCCCGCTGTGGCGCCTGTGGGTGTTTGGGTCGAGAGCGGAGAAGAGTGTCAGGAGCATCCCGCAGTAAGAACACACACACACACACACACACACACAAACTTCTATCTTGTTCAGATAACTTGATGAGGACTTGCATAGACATTTTATATTGAATTCTATATTCTACCCCCTAAACCCAACTCTCACTGGAAAATCTGCATTTTACATTTTTTTCAGAATACAAAGTTTAATATGTGGTTTATGAGCCATTTTCCTAATAAAGATAAAAAAAAGTTATCCACAAGGTCAAAATGTACTGATATTGTTATAGTTTTGAGAACATTTGGTACATAAAGTTACACTCACAGTCCACTTTATAAGGTATACCAGTCCAAGTGCTCGTTAACGCAAATTTTTTAATCAGCCAATCACATAGCAGCAACTCAATGCATTTAGGCATGTAGACATGGTCAAGACGATCTGCTGCAGTTCAAACCAAGCATCAGAATTTGGAAGAAAGGTGACTTAAGTGACTTTAAACGTGGCATGGTTGTTTGTGCCAGACGGACTAGTCTGAGTATTTCAGAACCTGCTAATCTACTTGGATTTTCACACACAACCGGGGTTTACAGAAAATGTTCAGAAAAAAAGAAAATATCCCATCAGCAGCAGTTCTGTGGGCACAAATGTCTTGTTGATCCCAGAGATCAGAAGAAAATGACCAGATTGGTTTGAGTTTATAGAAACAGTAGCTCAAATAACCACTTATTTAAACCGAGGTTTGCAGAAGAATAGTTCTTCTATTAGTTCCACTAGTACCAATTGAGCATCTTGTCAATGCCACAGCCTATCTGAGTGTTGCTGCTGGACATGTCCATCCCTTAATGACCACAGTGTACCCATCTTCTGATGGCTACTTCCAGCAGGATAATGCATCATGTCATAAAGTGCAAATTATCTCAGTATGGTTTCTTGACCATGACAACGAGTTCACTGTACTCAAATGACCTCCACAATCACCAGAGCTCAACCCAATAGAGCACCTTATCGCTTTTATCAAGGCAGCACCACCGGCATTTCAGCTGTCCAATCGCTGTTCAATCATGAGCGTAAAACCAGGCGTACACAAAGTTTTGGTGTGTACACAGTGTTGATACATGAGGCCCCAGATATGTAGCTGTAGCTATAGTTGACTTAAACTATAAGAAAATGTAAAATATAAAGATAAACACAAATATATGCAATAATATTTTTATTTATTAATATATTTATTAATTTGGCTTTTACCAGGGTTATTATCATTAACTATAATTTGAATTTGTAATTTACTAACATTTTAAAGAAAATAAATATTAACTGAAATAAAACAGAAGTCAAAAATTTATATACAGACATAAAAATAGGCTACAAATAATAAAAACTGAAAAAATTGTAAAGTCTATGAATCTATATCAATGATAATTATTTAATGTTAGTTAATGTTTTTTTTATGTTTTTACAGTTAATCTGATGTTTGTTAATAATTTCTTTTACCTTTTTTTTTAATTGATTGCACATTAAAAGGACAAATAAAAACTGTAATAAAACAGTCATTTGATGTTTTTTTAAATTAAATTTTATTTATTTATTTATTTATTTTTTTATTTTTAATTATCATATATTAAAGCGGGGCGACACAGTGGCGCAGTAGGTAGTGCTGTTGCCTCACAGCAAAAAGGTTGCTGATTCGAGCCTCGGCTTGGTCAGTTGGCATTTCTTTGTGGAGTTTGCATGTTCTCCCTGTGTATCCTCCGGGTGCTCTGGTTTCCCCCACAGTCCAAAGACATGCAGTACAGGTGAATTGGGTAGGCTAAATTTTCCATAGTGTATGAGTGTGGATGAGTGATTGTAGATGTTTCCCAGAGATGGGTTGCGGCTGGAAGGGCATCCGCTGCGTAAAAACTTGCTGGATAAGTTTGCAGTTATTCCGCTGTGGCGACCCCGGATTAATAAAGGGACTAAGCTGAAAAGACAACGAATGAATGAATGAATATTAAAGCAGGGCGACGCAGTGGCACAGTAGGTGGTGCTGTTGCCTCACACCAAGAAGGTCACTGGTTGAGCCTCGGCTGGGTCAGTTGGCATTTCTGTGTGGTGTTTGAATGTTCATGCGATACAGGTGAATTGGCTAAATTGTCCATAGTGTATGTTTGTGAATGGAAGTGTGTAGGTGTTTTCCAGCGATGGGTTGCAGCTGGAAGGGCATCCACTGCTTAAAAAAACCTATGCTGGATAAGTTGGCAGTTTGTTCTGCTGTTGCGATTGCAGATTAATAAAGGGACTAAGCCGACAAGAAAATGATTAAATGAATGAATTATATGTTAAAGGGAGAGTGCACTCAAAAATGTAAACTGTCATTAAAGACTCACCCTTCACTACTCACCCAAAACTAATTTCCAAACACCTTTCTATTTCTGGTGACCACAAATTTAGATATTCAGAAAAATGCTGATTGCTGGCACCCATTGACTTAAGTAATTTACTTTTCCTATGGAAATCAATGGTTGGCAACAACCAGCATTCTTCAAATTATCTTCATTTGTGTTCAACAGAAGAAGAAAGAAACTCATAAAGGTTTAAAAACACATGAGAGAAAGAGAGAGTAAATGATGAGGTAATTTTAATCGTTGGCTAAAATATATTTTTAATCATTAAATCTGTCTTTAGAGCAAATTTCAGTTACATAGTTGAAAAAAAACTCCAATCAAATAGACATGTTTAAAATGACCTCTCACATTTGTGAAGAAAAATAATAGAAAAGAAATGTTTTTCAGGCCCTTCTTTGCACCGTGATTGTGTTTGCATATGCAGATTGATTTCATAGCTGGCACAATCCCTCAAATGTAAACTTGTGTGTGCAGGCCCAGGCTTTGCTCACAGCAGAGTTTATGGAAGAAACCCGTCGAGAGAAAGAGGAGAGCCTGCGCCGATTCCAAGATGCTGTTCGTGAGCGTGTGTCACAGCAGGCCCAACTGCGCAAACAACAGCAGCTCATCAGATCATACCAGACCGTAAGAAATGCCTGTCTCTAGTGTCTCTCCCTCTTTTCATGTTCTTTGGAAAGATAACTAATAGGTTATTTAGTTATTAATAAATGGTTATTATAATTACAGACATCCTGTGAAATTGTATTTTTATATTCAGTTGAAGTCAGAATTATTAGGCCTCCTGAATTATTAGCCCCCTGTTTATTTTCCCTCGCAATTTCTGTTCAACAGAGAGAAGACTTTTTCAACACATTTCCAATATAATAGTTTTCATAACTATTTTCTAATAACTGATTTATTTTATCTTTGCCAGGATGACAGTAAATAATATTTTACTAGATATTTTTCAAGACACTTCTATACAGCTTAAAGTTACATTTAAAGACTTAACTAGGTTAATTAGGTTAAGGATTGGGTAATTTGGCAAGTTATAGTATAATGATGGTTTGTTCTTTAGACTATCGAAAAAAAAGGGGGCTTAAAGGGGCTAATAATTTTGACCTTAAAATGTTTTTTAAAAAATTAAACACTGCTTTTAGTCTTGCCGAAATAAAACAAATTTAATAAAACAACTTTCTCCAGAAGAAAAATTATTATCAGACATACTGTAAAAATGTCCTTGCTCTGTTAAACATCATTTGGGAAGGATTAAAAAAAGAAGAAAAAAAAATCAAGCGGGGGGCTAATAATTCTGACTTCAACTGTATATATATATCTCAAATATTTTCTCAAATATAAATTTCTCTAATGGGTCTAATCTCAAGTGTATTTTCACAGTATTTCTTATATATTTTTCTTCTAAAGAAAGTTTTTTTTTTAAGTATTTTCTATTATTATTATTATAATAATTATTTTTTAAAATACATTTTTATTTTAATTTTTTTGCAGTCAATTACATTAGCCTCAACAATAAATTATTTAATTTGATTCACAGAATAATTCACTATTGTCAAACTTGCCTAGTTAACCTAGTGCGCCTTTAAATTGCACTTTAAACTGAACACCAGCGCCTTACTTTACAACTTGAATAAAATATTTACTTTCATCATGATAAATTGAATTAGTTATTTAAAAAGAAAATGAATATGTTAAAATAAAATATTTAAAGCGACGCGATGGCACAGTAGGTAGTGCTGTCGCCTCACAGCAAGAAGGTCGCTGGTTCAAGCCTTGGCTGGGTCAGTTGGCATTTCTGTGTTCAGTTTGCATGTTCTCCCCGCGTTCGCGTGGGTTTTCTCCGGGTTCCCCACAGTCCAAACACATGCGGTAAAGGTAAATTGGGTAAGCTAAATTGTCCATTTTGTATGAGTGTGAATGAGTTTGTATGGGTGTTTCCCAGTGATGGGTTGCAGCTGGAAGGTGGGCCGCTGTGTAAAATATGCATTTACCTGTGGCGACCCCAGATTAATAAAGGGACTTAGCCGAAAAGAAAATGAATGAATGAAAATATTTAAAATTATTAAAAGGTATTTTTAAAATAATTTTAATCATTTTTGTGTATGTTTTAAAATTAATATTTTTTATTTAGCTTTCACTCATCATTTAAGTTTTTATGTGTGCTTATGCTTAAAAGCTTATATTTTTGAAATGTGCCTTTAGTATTTGGTCGTCACCTACAAGCATAAGCTTGTTTGAAAATCTACATGGAAAATTACAAAATAAAAGTAAAAACATTACTGGCTGCAAGATGCGGTTTGTGAATGTGTGTCACAGCAGGTCATCTGTGCAAACAGCTGATCAAATCATATGATACCCTTTTATAAACTACAAAGGCACAAATCACAGGTTCTTCAAAAAAAAAAAGGCCACCAACAAACATGAGCTTGCTAAATTGCTATATATAAAGAGAACATTCTAAAGAATAAGACCGTCTTTGCTTTACTTGCAACTTTGCAAGGATGTGAAAATCCAAAAATTGTTTTGACAGAAACATTGAATACTTAAATAATATAATAAATACTTAAATAATATTAATAAAAAATTATTCAGTCATCTATGTGAACACTGTCTTATATTTTTAACTGTTTTGTGTGTGTGTGTGTGCGTGCGCGTGCATGCGTGTGTGTGTGATTGTATATGCCAGGGGTCACCAATCTCGGTCCTGGAGGGCCGGTGTCCCTGCAGGGTTTAGCTCTAACTTGCCTCAACACACCTGCCTGATTGTTTGTATACCTAGTATACCTAGTAAGTATACCTAGTAAGACCTTGATTAGCTTGTTCAGGTGTGTTTGATTAGGGTTGGAGTTAAATCTGCTGGACACCGGCCCTCCAGGACCGAGATTGATGATGTCAGGGTTCTGACACTCTGGTCTTGTAAATTCTTGTTTTGGTGGCAGAGCTCGGACACTACCCATGTCTGGTCCTGTTTCTGTCTCTGTGTGCGCGCGCGCACGCGCCGTCATGGGTGTACGCAGAGTGTGCGCGCTCCTGCTTGATGCGGCCGCGCGCGTTCTGCGTCCCTCAGACGCGTGCGCTCTTGTACTCGTGTTTGTGTTTTCGTCTGTCTGCAGCGTGGTGTTTCATTCCCAGCATCTCAGTCTTGTTGGTTTCGGTTTTGGTCGGCGCTGGGATGAAGCATGCACGCTGCGTGTGTGAGCACACGGTGAGTGTCTTCATTCATCGTGTGCTCGTGTCTTGTCTGTTGTCAAAGCACGTGGCTCTGTGTTTACATTGTGGTCACGTGCTTTTGTCGTTTGCTTCAGTGTTGTGTTTGTGTTGTCATGAACATGCGGTTAATGAGTTCTCTCATTGGCTGCATGTTCTTGTCTTGTTTATGTGAGCGCATGGCTTGTCTCGTCTCTGTCATGCGCTCTCCCGTCTATTGTCTTGTCCCACCCACCTTGTTATCCTGTTTGTAATTATTATTTTCACCTGTCTGCCTGTCTGTTAATTGGTTTGTCTTTCCTATTTATTCTCCTAGTGTGCTCTGTTCTGTGCTGGTCCGTTGTTGATTTTCCCTTCCCTGTTGTATGAGGTCTGCTGATTTCTGGTCTAACGTAGTGTGTCTTGCCAAGTTTCAGATCTGATCTAGTTAAGTGTATGATAATGTTGTGTTTTTCCCCACATGGGGAGATTTGAGTTTTGTTTTTGTTTTATTTCTTAATAAAACCTTAATTTCCTGCATTTGGGTCCTCGCCTCCTCTCCATCCACCCCCATACCGTGACAGATGACCCCTGGTATATACCATTGAAGAAAAAAAACATAAGCTTTTTTCTTTTTTAATTTTTGAAGTCAGTATAGCACTGTTTTAAATATTTCACAAGTGCTTATTTCTTCTTCCTTTTAAATATTTTTCTATTATATCTAATGGAGAAAGGATTTTTTTAAATACAAATATGAACATAAGAGTTTTAATAATTAACTAAGTTTGTCTTTGCAATGATGACAGTACATGATTTTACATAATATGTACTTAATATTCTAGTTATTTTGCAGTATTGTATTTAGATTAAAGATCAATTTAAAGGTGTCATATACTGTATCGGTTTGATAAGTTAAATTGTTTCCTCATATCTACATAGTAAGTTTATGATCATTGTTGTCTCACTGGGGAATGTTGTGGCTTATCAAACATAGCCTGAGGCTTGCATATTAATGATCCCAGAGCTACATATAAGTCTGTTCTCAAGATGAGGGCGTGGCCTATGAGTCACACAACAGTCTGCTTTATGTTCTGATAGGCCTTTTGTCCACCTGGGTTTTATTCTTGTGTAATTAACACGAGAATGATGAAACAGTGGTGTCTCATGGTATGTTCATTTCCACATACTGATCTCCTATTATTTGACTATGCCTAGATATACCCAGATTTTCTTTATAGAGCACCTTTAAAGGCTTAACTAATTTAATTAGGAAAGTCACTGAGCAAAATGGGTTATTTTGTAAAATAATTAAATAAATAAATCTTAAGGGGCCTAAAAAAATTTACATAATATTTCTTATTTATATTTGTTTTTATTTTAGCCAAACTAAAAGAAATAAAAAATTGTCAGGTTAGAGTTTGTTTATTTTTAACCACAAGCAGGATCTTGACTGAAAAGCTAATGAAAGCAAAAAGTCACAACAATCTTTAAAAAAACTTGGCTTTGGAAAAGTCCAAATTTGTTTGATGTCTTTAAACAGTCATGCAAACATTATGTAACTTTTTTTTTCAGGTTGAATGGGAGGGCAAAATATTGCAACTGACCACCAAAGCAGTCCATCGTCCTTTACCTCAAACCAATGTATTTCCTTCATGGACATATGCAGAGCAAGTTATCTGCAGTCCCAGCTCTCACTCTGCCAGTGTTGACGGGACGGAGTCTTCTTCTTCCCGACACCTTACACATAACGTATGTGTATTTCCAGAGCATCCAATCATTTTTGCATTCATTTACCACATAGTCTTGTTGTATTTGGTGAGTTTCTTTGCCCTGTTTCCAGGTCAGTAAAGTCAGGAAGCATGTGAGGCACAGACTAGCTGCTCGCCAGACAGTGCAAGACGGAGAGGATTTATCGCAGCTACCTGGTGGGAGATGGAAAATATCTCCTGCTAGAAATGTGAGTCATGCATGATGCATTTGGGTCATTTTCAAGACGTGAACAGTCAGTTTTGCGGTATATTAATATCTTGCCTTTTGTTTTAAATACAGAAACCTGAATCACACACTTGGAAAGATCAGAAAGATTATACTGAAAGAGGAGAGGAGGATGTTGAAGCGGAAGATGAGATGCTGTTGGGGCAACATGATCAACCTCTCCATTTGCATCACCAACAAAGCAAGACTGTAACTTTTCAGAACGATATGGTAGGAAGGTCTTGTGTGGCATTTAAGTTTAGTTCAAGACGGTACACCCACGGAAAAGACACTGTTAAAAATTTTTTTTTTTTTTTTTTTCAGTTTGCTGGAAAGAAAGTGACCTAGGGTGACCATGCACCAAAGGGAAAACTGTATTTTTAAAGTACTATTTTTAAACACATTTTCTATAAGGGTACTTTAAACCTTGAAAAATTTAGTTCATGCAGTTCTGAATATGCTTGTGTAACTGCCAGCTGTAATTTATGGGTATTTACATTGAAATCAGGTGAACACTGTAGGAATTACAACAGTTTGCAAAGGTGCCTCCAACTTGTTAAGGGTTTAAAAGTAATTGGACAGAATAATATTCATAAATCAATCTTTCAATTTTTTAATACTTGGTTGCAAATCCTTTGCAGTCAATTACAGCCTGAATTCTGGAATGTATAGACATCACCAGACACTGGGTTTTATCCCTGGTGGTGCTCTGACAGGCCTTTACAGCAACTGTCTTCAGTTCCTGCTTGTTCTTGGGGTATTTCCCCTTCAGTTTTTTCTTCAATAACTGAAAAGCATGCTCAATAGGATTCAGGTCAGAGACCTAGCCATTGCATTACATTCCACTTCTTTCCCTTCTAAAACTCTTTGGTTGCTTTTGCTGTATGCTTTGGGTCATTCTCCATCTGAACTGTGAAGTGCTGTCTAATGAGTTCTGAAGCATTTGGCTGAATATGAGCAGAGATTATTGCCTGAAACACTTTAGAATTCATCCTGCTACTTTTGTTAGCAGTCACATCATCAATAAATACAGGAGTACCAGTTCCATTGACAGCCACATTGTTAAGTGTGACGTCACGCGATGCGGCTTCCGAGTCCAAGCGCTCTATTTAACTCAATGGGGAGACTCATGAAATGGTAATAATAAATGTTTACAAAGCGATTTAATGCTTTCAAAAATCACAATCACAGTATATATGTCCATGCCTAATATCCGATGGCCAGAAAGTGGTATATTTTTTATAACTTGTAAAATGTTTGGTATTTGTTATGCAGCAAGTCCAGAGATTGTTGTGTACACTATGATTTTATATAAAATTAACTTTAATGTGTGACAGGAATAAAACGCGATCATAAATGAAGGATTTCTCCACTCAAATGAATGGCGGCTTGGACCCGGAAACATTATACATACGTCACAAACACGTCACCACTTAACAAGCGGATATGCACATGCCATGTCACTACTACCACCATGCTTCGCTGCTAAGGATCATGAGCAGTTCCTTTCCATCTCCTTACTTTTCTCTTCCCATCACTCTGGTACAAGTTAATCTTGGTCTCATCTGTCCAGAGGATGCCGTTCCAGCACTGTGAATGCTTTTTTACAACTCTAATCTGGCCTTTTTGTTGTTCAGGTTTACCAATGGTTTACATCTTGTGGTGAGCTCTATGTATTCACCCTGGTGTAGTCTTCTGTTGATTGTTGACTCTGATACACATACACCTATCTCCTGGAGAGTGTTCTTGATCTGTCCAACTGTTGTGAAGGCTTTTCTTCGCTAGGGATAGAATTCTTAGATAATCCACCACAGTTTTTTCAATGGTCTTCTGGGTCTTTTGGTGTTTCTTAGTTAACTGGTGCTGTTCCAAACTGTTGTTTTGGCCATGCCTAATGTTTTTGCTATGTCTCTAATGGTTTTGTTTTTTCAGCTTAATGATGTCTTGCTTGACTGATAGTGACAGGTCTGTGAATCTCATTTTTAAAGTTGAGCAACCGATTCCAAATGCAAATAGCACACTTGAAATTAACTCTGCGCAATTTATCTGCACATTGTAATTGGCATAATGAAGGAATAACACATCTGACCATGGAACTGCTTAGAAGCCAATTGTCCAATTACTTTTGGACCTTAACAAGTGGGAGGCACATTTGGAAACTGTTGTAATTCCTACAGTGTTCACCTGTTTTGAATGTAGATACCCTCAAATTAAAGCTGGTAGTCTGCAGTTAAAGCACATTTTTGTTTTATTTCAAATCCATTGAGTGGGTGTATAAAACCAAAAATGTTTGAATTCTGTCAATGTCTAAATATTTATTTACCTTACTGTAACTAAGGACCTAACTGTATATGATTATTATATGTTAATTTAAAAAATACAGAAATGTTCTCAATTTCATTCTGCTTAATGTAATAATTCTAATAACAGCACTAAAAAAAATAGAAATCAATTTAAAGTAATTTTATTTTAAAAAGTCTTACGAGTGTCCTAACAACAAGCCATGCATCGAGATTCCAGCGACAAGCAATTTGGTTGTCTGCACCAAACGCAATGTGACATGACAGAAACATTAAAAATACCAGCCATTCATTTAAATAAATACCAACCATACACTCCCAACGAAATGGTAAGATGGTTACCAATATATAAATATAAAGATGGCTATTATTCATTCATTCATTTTCATTTTGGCTTAGTCCCTTTAAGATGATGATTTCTACATATTTAGCCTACTTAATTTATTAAAAGTATATAGGCTGAGTACTGATGTTGCTGTTGTTATTTGGAGAGTCATGACTTTCATTTTCAAAACGTTTGCTAATTATTTAATTTTCAAGATCTGTGGTAAACTGTCTGCTGCCGCTTTCAGTGATATGGCAATAAATTTCACATAAAATTATATTCAAGCTAATATTAGTAGCATTTAACATTGAATAAAGCACATAATCTCAGGGTTCTCACACTTCTTGAAAGTGCTTAAATTTCAGACACATGAGTTCAAGGCCAGGAAAGTACTCAAAAACAAACACAGGTACTTGAAAGTGCTTGCATTTAATTATGTCGTTATTTCAACAATTGTACTGTTCTGTTTTCAGACACTGAATGAAAAAACTGAGAAATTCTTAATTTAAAAACCTTAGATTTAAACCTTGAACAAGAACCATGACACATAATACACATTTTATCAATATTTCACAGACTGCATATGAATATTGGCAGTATTGAATTCAACAATTGTATTAAAGTTTTTTGAACATGAGTGTTTATCATTATTATGACATTTTAATGTACAGTACATTAAGGACTTTCATGGCACTACATATGCTGTGGGGGTATGAAGTACAAAGGTGCTTCATTTAAATTTAATGGTGCTTTAAAATGCCCCTAAATCCGCTGTTCATAAAGTAGTGGGAACCCCGAATATGTACCTGTCTTGCTGTGATGTTGCAGAAAAAGAAAAAAACAATATAAATTTTGTGTGTCACTGGCTGATGGTTAGGATAAAAACTCATTTTACCATAAAAAAAGATAGCTTTTATTGCGTGTCGCGCCACTACATCATGTGTAGTTAGAACACAGTGTAAGACCTCTTCCATATGGAACAATTAGCATTTAATGGCAATATAGTGAAGTTAACTTAAGCAAACTACTGGCAGGTCACAAATAATATTCTTGTAATATTTTTATTTTATTTTATGAGAACACAGCTGGTCTTTATAACCCTATGCAACTGTATGATTTAGACATGCAATATAATTATGTGCAATGTTTACTTAAATATGCCTGTAATATCATTTGTGTTCTAGATTCACCTGTAAACCATAAACCATGTCTTAAATCAAAACTGCTTACTATAGAAAGCCTTTTCCTGTTTAAGTGGAGGCTGTTCAGTGGTGTTTAAGCCGTCTTACACCACAAGACCTTTATGACATCTTCAACACAATGTGATATTATTATGTAACACAGCGCCTTTTATTATTTCATTAATACATGATGGTGTCTCTGCAGATTTATGAGCCAGATCGCACTGCTTCCTGCACAGGCTTCACAACTGACTATAGAGCTTCCCAAGTGCTGTGGCCGCATGAGAATCAGGAGGAGCTGAAGAGGCAGGTGGGAATTCACACTTGATTAATAGTGAAGCCTCTTCTTTTTTGCATTTTTTAATTAGGGAAATTAAGAGTTTTTTTTTTTTTTTTAACCCAGCAGTAGAGCTGCACTGTTCTGGATAAAAAGAGAATCGCAATTTTTTTGTGTGCTTAGAATAAAGATTATGATTCTCTCACAACTTCGTGGACCTTACTTGTAAAGATTTACCCCTGAACATTAGGGCTATTCTATAATGCAATATGGTCATTTAATTCATGCGCACACTATTTTTTGTTTTTTTTTTACCGCAGAGTGCAGCTCATGCCATTTAGTGCTGTCACTTTAAAATAAAAAATAAATAAATAAAAATACATGCAAATAATAATTATTACCCTTACGTCTACTGATTGAGGAGCGAAACGTAATAACTCTTAAGGGCCCTATCATGCACCCGGCGCAATAAGGCACAATATGTTTGGTGTGATTTGTTGCTATTTTCAGACCAACGCAACCGTTATTTGCCCGTTTTGCACCATGTTGTTTAAATAGCAAATTAATTTGTGCATTTTGTGCACTCATGGGTGTTCTGGTCTAAAAAACGTGTGCGTGCATTGTTGGCACATTGCTATTTTGAAGAGCTGAAATAGACCTCGCCATTGACCAACTAAAAGCTGCTCTAAAGTCCAGCATGGAGCACTTTAGTTAAGCGCCTATGTGGGTTCAAATGCTTACACATTGCTTCAAATGCTTCCACATTGCTTTATACACACAGGATTAACAGATAAATATTTTTACAAAAATTATAATTTTCTTCATAAATATAAAAAACACTGCCTCCATACCTCATCTTGAGAGGCTTTTTCAGTTTATACATGACAATCTGCATTTTGTATAATGTTGTTGTTATTATTATTATTTACATATTGTATGCAGTATTATATGTATATTATATTTGTTTTTATAAAAACAAGTTTAGATTTGTCCACCTGTCAGATTTTGGAGACATATTCATCACCATATGGGGCATAAGAATAGGACGTGTGTTTGGATATAACTGAATTAAGAAATAGTTTTGAAACAAATCTTTGCGCTTAACAAATGAAATCAAATATGGAGTTTAATGGATGTCTTCATTGGAGTGAGTACAACACATTTTTTTTTTTACTGCACGAAAGTAAAGGAGTAAAAGTAAAGTAAAGAGAAAGCAAAGAGGCAGAATGGAGTAGGCTAGTTTTTTTATCCTCACACTGCAGATGGTCTGTTTAACTGTTTTCTCGCTAGTAAAGCATTCAGTTTTTTCACTTACATATGAAGTCTGCCATGTAAATAACTAATGCACCATGGCGCGACGCAACTGACTCTTAAAGGGGATGAAAGATGAGACTCTGATTGATTTAATGCACGTTATACCCAAAACACACCCATAATTGATAAAGCCCCTATTATGGGTTTTTGAGAATGACCTTCCATGTAGTTTGTAACACAGCTCTAAATGAAGTGACCCTGATAACACTGGTGAGAACCAGGTACTGTGTATTATTGGGTTAATAACTAATATGTAGTGTTGATGCACTCTGAATACTTCTGTATTGTTAATATGCTGGGCTGGGCATTTTACTCTGATCGCACTGATCGCTGTCAGTGTCGACCAATCACAACAGGCTGTCATCGGTCCAATCAGCACAGATAAGCTTCGCGCTGAGGAGGTGTTAGGGAAGAAATGAATTGCTGACTCGCTGGTATAATTAGGTAAAAATAAATGCTTATAATAACACCAAGAAAGTGTTTTTTGACCTTGCATGCAGACTGTTGTTGGAGACTCTTACAACCAAAATATGACCCTATTTCATGTATGATAGGGGCTCTTTAAGAGAATAAACACAACCCTGTAAGACCATATGCCAGGGCGCAGACCATATTTTTCCATCTTTAAAATAGCAAAAGTGGATGCTTTAATGCTTTTGCGCCTTGCACTTAAGACTTTGCACACATTGTTAAAATAGATCCCTAAGAGTTTAATATAAATAAACCCACATCTGACATTTGAATAAACCCCAGTCCTGTTTTCTCCATTTATGATTGATGCATTTGTGAAGACAGATGTTGAGACACATCAACATGTTTATTGGCTGCTTTTGTCAGACTTTTTTTAACATAAATTTCACTCAGTGTCTGGAGGGATTTAATGTTTATATTGTCGCTTTTACCTGTGAAGTTACATGGTAACTAGATGTGTAAGTAGTATGTAACAACAGTGTAAGTGTACACTGGTACATAGTATTTACTTGTGTGATACTGGTGTAACTACACATATGTAACAACCAAGTGGCAACCTCCCGCTCTCCCTCAGGAAGCCAATACGGAAGTAACTAAAATTGCAATTCATCCGAAATTCCAGTAGTCCTGGCCGCTCCTGGCTCCAAAATACAGCAAATTTCAATTGAGCCCACTGTTAGAATGGCCAACTTTACAGCAGAAAAAAAGGTGTTTACAGCCTGGTACAAAAAAGATTTTGGTTAATATAATAGCTAATATTACCCTTTATGACAACTGTGAGGGGGGTGAATTTTTTTATAACTCATCCGTTTCCTTTATATTAAGTTATATTAAGTTTGCATAATTGAGGGAGTGGCCACTTGAGTGACAGCTAGGTCTCGTTGGTGGCCGTCACGTCACCTCAGCTGAATCCTGCAGATTAGCCACTGAACTCGGCATATTTATCATATTTCTGTGTTGTTTTATGTGGCTTTACACAGTCAACTGCCTTTTGGACTTGTTTCCTACAATTATTAGATGGCATGGCATGACAAAGTTATATACTTATATACCATCTCTATACATGTATTTGTTTTAAGATCATTTATCGTTTATATTTATATTTAGAGCTGTAATGCACTCCAGAATCTGATGAATTGATTAGCTGTAGGCTCTAGAACAGTCATCTGAAGCGTTGTTATACAGTGTTATGCTGGATTTCATCAATAGTCTTACATTAACTAACACAGACTATATCTGAAGTGTTTGGAAGTAATTTGCGTTTTCCTCCTGTTGAAAACGTCGTAAGAACAATGTTTAGTGGCTTAATGTATTACAGCAGTGTTTTTAAAAGTCTATACACTTTATTGATATAGTATACAACCAAGCACAAGAGGTCAGAATAAAAACGAGTCACAGGTGATAAAGTATTAAGCGTTCTCCCAAAGTAAAGTGTGTCTGAACCAGGTCTAAGCAAAATGCCAGCAGGTGTCTGTAGCTCCGCTCACTCTCCGCCACTTTGCCCTTGTTTGGTATCCCGACGTGGGTGTGATGACGCACGAACAAAATGGCGACGGTTGGCCGCGCCAACTTGTGGCTTCTTTTGCGCTCTTTAGAAACCTATGGGTGATGTCACGGATACTACGTCCATATATTTTACAGTCTATGGTAACAACCCACTGAATAGTAAGTGTAGGTTGAAATGTGTAACAGGACATTGGTAACAACACTAAGAAAGTACACATCTGTAACAAGAATTGTGTACAAAACTATTGAATTATTACAACCAAAAGTGTCATAATATGTGGCATTGTAGGAGCTTTTTGTATCACTATTTTTGGTGCGCTTATAATGGAATTGATCGCCAGAGGGGAAGCACCTAATATACGTCATTTAAATCATTGGCAGCACCCATGGTCCAAAATAAACTGGAATAAATGTGGATTTTTTTGTATAACATAAATATGTCGTTTTTATTTCAGCATATTTCTTAAAAATGCATCATTTACATTATATTCAGGCATACATGTCGTGATTCCCAGGGTTTCCTTTAAAAATACTATTGGTTGGATTAAGATCATGTGGGTGGTTGAATTGAGATGCTCTACATAGCAGTGAAAATTAATGTCATCAAAATAATGAAAAATACATTGTTCATTTAACATATTTTAAAATATTTAACATTTTCACTTTATTTGTTGTTCTTCACCTTTATGTTAAAGGGATAGTTCACACAAAAAAGGAAAATTTAGTCACTAATTACTTACCTCACATGGTTCCAAACCAAAATTGGTAACCACTGACTTCCATAGGGAAAAATAAATGCTATTGAAGTCAATGGTTACAGGTGTCCAGCTTTTTTTAAAAGATCTGCAGAAGAGCAGAAGAAAGAAACTCAAAGGTTAGTAAAGGGTGAGTAAATGATTTTTTGGAGCGAACTATCCCTTAAAAAAATCAATATTTGTTATTAAATTTCAGGATTGACATTTTAGTATTTGCTACATTTTATGATTTTACATAGAGTAATTTCAGGAAGCTTTCTGATTGTGTTACCTTGAATAAGAAACAGCCCAAATGTACTCCAATTCCAAACAGCCGCCAAAATGTACCTCCACATAATTTTCTATATCAACAGCAATATCCAAGCCAATTCGATTTTAGGTGATTAGAATTAGTAAAACTAAACCAACCTTTTGCATAGTGCTTGTCATAAAAAGGAAAAGTAACAGGGAAAATAATTTGAGTTAGGTCAGATATCTCCCATATATCTCACTTGTAAATAACCATTAGTCGGTAACCACTGACTTACATGTTTTTTCATCTCAATGAAAACCACTTAACAGCTTTCTTCAAAATATCCTCTTTTTTGTTCAATTAGCAAAACGAAATTCATAAAAGTTTGTAACGACTTGAGGTTTAGTGAATTATTTTCACCATTTTTTGGGTGGAATATACCTTTAAAACATGCGTTATTCTACACCTTTTTCTGTAGTAAACCTACTTTCCTAATTATACGCAAGTTATGAAAGCCACTGTGCAAATTATGAAATTTCAACTATAATTTAGAGGGAACATAATGATATTGTTATAGTTATGTTCAAGTAATAAGGAGAATATTTAGTCTAGATTTAGGTTCTTTATGTTTTTTAAGTTTAAGTGTAACAACTTTATTAATCCCATTAGGGGCAATAAAATTAGGGCAGAAGCATCATTATACAACAAACACATAAAGAGACAAATCACCTACAAACAATATTAAAAAAAACACAATCCAGCATGCTTTATAATAACTTAATATAATAAAAAAACGGCAATAAGGAAAGACCCATACATTAAAAATTTAAAACTTGCTTAAATGTAAGGCTAAAAAGGCTTATTGCCTCTGGAATAAAGCTGAATTTATATGCCTTAGAAGAGCATTTAATGCCTCTGAGCTTTCTTCCAGAGGGCAACAGTACAAAAAAGGCTTCAGAGGATGGGAATCATCTCTTATCACACTTTGAATTTTCCATTTGCTGTTCATGTAACTCTGCTAGATTCCGCAGAGGCAAACTAATAATCTTGGTGCAAGTCTAGACTAAGCTTTGAAGGCAATTTTTGTCTCTAACAGATACAAACATTTTTTTTTATTTTTGTTTTACCAAAACTATTGCCTTTTTCAATCATTAAGCATTTTGTTTCAGAGGCAGTCTCAGTTCCTTATGTATCGACGACACTTCATGGACATCGAGCGAGAGCAAGTGAAGGAGCACAAAAGGCACAGGAAACACATCAAGAGAACTGCAAGGTCCAACCTCACTACACGTCCACAAGTCTGTTTTCTACAACAGCACGTTCCTACATTCAGTGCTGTTAAAAAGGCTGTCTATTTTCATTCTTTACCATGTGACAGTTGCTCACTTCTCTTTTTGTTTTTTCATCTTTAGTCATGCTTGTGTAAAATGCTTACGTGACTGACTAGTTACTGTAAAAATGACAATAATACTGAACTGAAAAAGTGACTATGACTGAGCAAGGTTGCAGGCTTCGATGACAAAATTCAAAATACCAGTATGAAACAAATGTTACTTTTCATAATAAATACACAAGTTTATATATTCCTAATTTGCTATTTCTTCATGTTAGGAAGTCATCTGATGGAGCATTACAATTGCAACAGTAAAGTCAGTAGTTTGAATTCTAGAACAAAAGTATTACTTTTATTGATGGTATAGAATATAAGCCCTTCTGAATTATTAGCCCCTCCTGTATTTCCGCAATTTAGGTTTACTTTAAAGAACAGATAAGTTGTTTCAACACATTTCTAAACAAAAAAAAAGTTTTAATAACTAATTTGTAATAACTAACTTCTTTTGTCTTTGCCTTCATGATTTATATATTTTACTAGATATTTTTCAAAATGCTAGTATTCAAAAAACAAATAAGACTTTTTCCAGAAGAAAAAAAATATTGTAAGAAATACTGTGAAAAATTCCTTGCTCTGAAAGAAAAAAAAATCAATATTTGAGCTTTGTAATAGGCCAGATTAACGTGACTTTGTTAATGGTTCAACTATTAGTCTAAGCATATGACACTTTTATAAATTTTCAATTAAATACATTTAAGCCACATCTGACCTGTGTTCTCATAATCAGAATCAGTGCATCCAATTGTCATTTTAAATCTTAATACTTTCCACTATTGTCTAAAATCAAGTTTTATCCATTTGTCAATATTTTGATCATCTAAAATACTCAAATTTAGATCTAAACTATACTCAAATTCAGCATTAATAATAGTTATGTTGTGATGTTAATGCAGAACAACAATAGAACATTCTTCGACACACCTGTTTTTATTTTCAGTACAAAAAAATATTTAAAACGTTAAAGTTGACACTTTATGTTTTTTTTACTGTGAAATGATTTTGGCAAATTTAAGAAACAGAACTTAGACATTTCTAAAATATTTTGTTAATGTTATGTTTAATGTTATGTGTGTGTGTGCGTGCGTGCGTGCGTGTGTGCGTGCGTGTGTTATTTTCAACATTTATTAATATTAATAATCTTGTTTTGTTTTTGTTCTTGCCACTAATCAGTCCCTAACTGCCTTTCTTTAAAACTTTTCAAGCAAATAACCACACATCATTTTTCTTTCATTAAGTTGTGCAAGAGCACAAAAGACTTCATGTCATGTTTTATATTATACTTTCTTATATAAACTTTCTGCTTTGTGTAGGATTAAGAATGAAAAAGAACACGCCAGGAAAGCAGAGGAGAAGAAGATGGAGCAGCAGCGACAACAGGAGGAAGAAAGAAAAGACGAGGCTGAGAGGGAGTATTTGATTTTGGAACGATTGAGACTTGATGAGGAGGAGGAGGCAGAAGAGAAGGCACAGAGACGAGAAAGGACAAAGAGGATTAAAGAAAGCAAACGGTATGTTCTGACAATATATAGCACAAGTTATCATAAGTTTGTACATAATAACAAAAAAAGCCCACTTTTAAAAAACAATGCTCTCTAAGCCTTTGTTTATTTGATCACCTATAAATAAGAACAGTAAAATGTGACCCTGGACCACAAAACCTGCTTCATGTTGTAAAGGTATATTTTTTGGCTATAGCCAAAATGCATTGGATGGGTTAAAATAATTGCTAAATAGCATTAGACTGTTAAGTAAAATTCATTTTACTTCCAATTCATATTTTGTATATTTTCACTGTATATATCAAAACTTGTTTAGGAATTTATATTGTGCATTGCTAAGAACTTGATTTAAGTTTAAAGTTGATTTTCTGAGCATTTAGACTTTTTTAAAGGCCATGAAACCCCCCTCAGCAGGTCTCTTTTCATGTATATTGCAACCATTAGCCCTGCCGGTAATCCAGAGGATTTTTAACGTAGGCGAACACATCAGCAGTGTCTGAATGGTCATGAAATCAACTAATAAATGACAAAGTCTGCTATTCTGCAATTGTCGTACAGCTCTCCAGACAAAAATGCTTGCTGCCAACAAACAGCTTTGCTGTATCGGCCCTTACAGCATTGCGGGGAAAAACATACAACAAAACTCGTGGATCATGGAATCAAAAACATTCCACCCGTACCATGTACAGACACGATCTCAACCAGTCATTCCGTCTCACAGCTTGGCCGGTCTGTCTTGCCTTCAGAAAGCACGTGCTCTCATAAATAAATAAGGAGCAGGGTCTTCTCATAGGATAAGAAAACTCCGCTATAAATAATAATGAGAAACCAACGCGTCATAACTCCACTAGCAGATAATATCACAATATTAAAATAGTCACCTATTTTGATCCCGCCCCAAAAATAATTTTAAACCCAAAAGATGAAATTAGCTGACATATTTCTTACAATTGAAGCTGACAGGTGCTTACGTTGTCTTATCTGATGCTCAACAATCTGTTAAAATTTTAAAAAAGTACTCCAGGGTGTCTTGAACCTTTAATCCTCAGGTTTCAGATATTTGGTTTTATCTCAGCCAAATATTATCACATCCAAACAAATCTTCCACACATAAATGAAAACCCCCTTTAATTATAAGACCGCTTGTTTATTTTTCCCCCAATTTCTGTTTTACGAAGAGAAGATTTTTTCAACACATTTCTAAACATAATAATTTTGTGTGTGTGTGTGTGTGTGTGTGCGTGCGTGCGTGCGTGCGTGCATACGTGCGTGTGTGTGTGTGTGTGTGTGTGTGCGTGTGTTATTTTTAACATTTATTAATAATAATGATCTTGTTTTGTTTTTATTCTTGCCACTAACCAGTCCCTAACTGCATTTCTTTAAAACTTTTCAAGCAAATAACCACACATCATTTTTCTTTCAATAAGTTGTGCAAGAGCACAAAAGACTTCATGTCATGTTTTATATTATACTTTCTTATATAATCTTGACACATTTCTAAACAATAATTTTAATAACTAATTTTTAATGACTATGACTAATGATTATTTTATATTTGCCATGATGACAGTAAATAATATTTTACTAGATATTTTACAAGACACTTCTATACAGCTTAAAGTGACATTTAAAGGTTTAACTAGGTTGATTAAGTTAACTAGGCAGGTTAGGGGAATTAAGCAAGTTATTGTATAACAGTGGTTTGTTCTGTAGATTATCAAGAAAAAATATTGCTTAAAGGGGCTAATAATTTTGTCCCTAAAATGGTTTATAAAAAAATTAAAACTGCTTTCATTCTAGCCAAAATAAAACAAATTTGACTTTTTCCAGAAGAAACAAATATTATCAGACATACTGTAAAAATGTCCTTGCTCTGTTAAACATTATTTAAAAAATATTTAAAAAAGAAAAATATATAAACCTAACTATAATATGTTATTATAGTTTACTAAATCCATAAAAGTAAAACCATTTTTATCACTTAAAGGGAACTCCTTATGCCCTGTTTTAACAGAATAGCATAGCTTGTCCAATAGTACTGTACGAATAGCTATGTGTAATGCAGACGAGGCTTGTCATTTCCACTGCCAGTAATATATTTTATTAGTAGGAAAATAGCGATTAACATCATTCTCACTCAAAGAGGAAAGCCATAAACATCAGTCGAGGACATACAATAGATCCTATCTTCTTGCTTTTTTGCATGTAGCTGTTTGTGGCTTTTCATTTCTCACCATGCTGTTGTGATGACAGCAATTTTTCAGCAGCCATCGCATTTTCTGTCACTATGTTCAAATTTTATCAAATAATCTAATAGTAAATGGACTGAACTCAACCCAAATTAAGTTTAAATCAAATTGGAAATGGTGGTGTAGACTGTTTCTAATCCGATTGAAAGGTCACATAAACACTTCGACTGATTAAAAAACAAGTGGAAAATGCTGCGTATATGCAGTGATGTAGATTTGAAGTTGATCTGTATGACAAGTGTAACAGACTACTGTATTGCAGAATGGACACAAAAAATTACTTTTGTTATTGTAAAATTCTCCTTTAACATCATGCCATCAGTTTGTTTTGGCCTCTGATAAAAACAATTTCACTGCTTGACAAAAGTAAACAGCACAGCACAGCACAAAGCTTCATGTTTTCATTGTTTCTTAGTTGGGATTTAAAGTAAAAAATTATTGGTTGTCATTAAAACAAAGACAACCGCCAACGGTTGGATCATGTAAAGACTACATTCATATTCATCAAACCATCATTAGCCAACTAAACTTGCAAGTTCTGTAGTTACCAGCATACAGTAGTTCGGTGATCTTGAATTCTTTGTTCCAACAAACATTTGCAAACTCGTGTGCTTGGAACTTCATCTCTAGACTTGTGGTTAAGGCATGGCCCCTGGCTTTGTTCCATTCAAAGTTATTACCTATGCCAGTGTTTCTCAACCATGTTCCTGGAGGACCACCAACACTGCATGTTTTGGATGTCTTCTTTGTCTGTCACACACATCACAGGTCTTTCAGTCTGTGTTAATGAGCTGTGTTAATGAGCAGAAATAAAAGATGCAATGTAAGAAAAAAAAAACATGTTAAACATAAAAATGACACGTAAAAATAATCTGTCACACGACCCTGAAGAATATTTTCTTATATGCTAATTTGATGTTTCTTGTAATCATTGTTGTTGAAAACACTTCTGCAGTTTTTTGTTCTTTGTTGATCGGTAAGTTAAAAGAAACCGATTATTTAGTGTCTATTTGAAATGTAAATATTTCATGCATATCGTTAAGGATAATATTTTGATCAATCTGGCATGTGATCATTTTGTGACAGGTACATTCAGGCAATGCGGGCTCTAATGAAGGAGAAGCTGGAGAAAGACAAAGTGGAGCTGCCTGCTCTGTGCTGCTGTGGAGACACTTTTTGGGACAGCAATCCTGAGACCTGCGCCAACAACTGCATCTTCTATAACAATCCAAAAGGTAAACTCGATTTAATTTTTTTTATTTTAGTATAAATTCTACCGCTTGTTCAATAAAGATGCCACAGAATGAAAATCTGGATAAACCTAGTCATAGCTGAATAAAAAGGATTCAGTACATGAAAAGACATAGCGTGAGCTTCAAACACTATTGTATTCTTGTTCCCAAATCCTGTGAGTGTAAATTCCTGTTGTAAAACAGGTCAATTGGAACAAAAAACTCTGGCACACTGGCTCATGCATGAACACCCATGCCCCCAGCAGCAATTGATTAACCCCGACGTTTTCTAGTGAGGTTATAACAATGATAGTTTCTTCCCTTGTTTTTAAGTTTATCTAAGCTTGTATTAATACTGGCGACGCAGTAGTGCAGTTGGTAGTACTGTCGCCTCACAGCAATAAGGTCGCTGGTTGGAGCCGCAGCTGGGTCAGTTGGCATTTCTGTGTGGAGTTTGCATGTTTTCCCTGTGTTTGTGTGGGTATCCTCCGGGTGCTCCGGTTTTCCCCACAGTCCAAAGACATGCGGTACAGGTGAATTGGGTGGGCTAAATTGTCCATGGTGTATGAGTGTGAGTGAGTGTGTGTGGATGTTTCCCATAGATGGGTTGCAGCTGGACGGGCATCCACTGTGTAAAAACGTGCTGGATAAGTTGAAGGTTCATTCCGCTGTGGCGACCCTGGATTAATAAAAGGACTAAGCCTGAGAGAAAATGAATGAATGTATTAATACTTACTATGAATATGGGACTTTTATTTTGAAAGCAAAACCCGTTTTATAGAGTTCTTGAGTATAGAGTGGAGGAACTAAAGCTGCATCCCAAATGGCACACTCTGCACTCATGCACTATGTACTTATGCACTTACACACTCAACAGGATAGTATATGTATGTAGTGTCGTCCCAAATGGCACACTAATGTTTTTTTTACTAAGTGGAAATTCAAACCGTTTCCCTGATGACGTTTGACAGTTGCCAATTCAGTGAAATAAACGACCGAATTATCAAATAATACCTGCCGTGAGTATTGCCGCATTCACCATCAGGAGGCGCTATAATCACTCTTTATAGAATTTTGCTTTCACCATCCAAAATAAATAAAGTTATTCAACATGTGCGTCTGATAGCTCCGCCCCTTCCGCTACGTAAGCAAACCTGCGGTCGTTGAGTGCGTGAAGTGTCCATCATTACACACTTAATTTTAGCGGCTGAATGAGTGCATCATCCAGGTAATTAAAGTGCACTTTTTGAGTTTTCAGTGAACACACTACTTACACTATTTAAACTACAAAAAGGCGTAGAATAGTGCATAAGGATGCGATTTGGGACGCAGCTATACGACGTCACTTTGTAGGCTAATCAGCTGCTAGCATAGCATGGTTCCCTCGTGAAAATCCCTATAGGATTTTCTAATAGGCTTTTCGAAGATTGCAATTAATAAGCTCTGTGTTCAAACACTGTTCATTACACTTACACGTTTTGTCCAGCCGAATAATCCTCACACGAAAATACAACTTTGAGCACTTTTGGATCTTAAATGCAAACGCAAGAATTGAAAAGCTAACATTAGGCTATAAACGGACTACACTGCCCTCAGGGCGCTCGTCTGTGACGTCAGCACTGCCCTGCTACAGACAACTTATCATGCTTGTTTTTAGAAATAATGTCCATGACAAAGAGTTAATTTCTCTGTTTATTATATGATAATCCACTGTATATATTATAAACAAATACATACGCAAAAACACATAGACCCGTGTGCCTTTTGGATCATTTTACGTGGGAAATGCATCCGTTGTGCTTTACGGTTGTTCTAAAAGTTTTAAAACTGTGTGTATAAATGTGCCTACATAGTATTATCATAAGACATATTTAAATAAGTGTATCGCTCACGTGCACACAGCCTGCTTACCTTAACAGACGACAGAAATGAGTCGTGAGGAGCAACAAGTCTAATGCCTGCACTTTCTATCATCATGGACACAGAGCAACATTCAATATTCCTTTTTTGTCACAAAGTACTGTGAAAAGCAGCATATACAGTCAAATCTTCTATACATTTTATGGAGGAGTGTAAATACTGCAGTTATGACAGAGTTAAATGTGTTCAGATGAAGAAAAAAAGATGAAAAATCGCTTGATCACGTTAAAATGACAGTTAATATGCATGCATTTTTACACATTTATTTACACGTTTGTATTACTAAGTGCAGGACAGAGACAGGCTGCACTGGTAAACAGTTTATTCATAATATTGTTTATTAAAATAAATGATCAACAAATTAATCTGTCTCGACAGCCTTTACAAGTGAAGGAATTATCTACACACAATCTGAGTTCCCAATTAGAATAATACTACAAACTATAAAATACTATTCATGAAAATACCTACATACAGGCAAATCCAAATGCCCAACACAAGTGAGCTGCGCTCCAGATGCGTTCAGCTCGATGACGTATAATGTCTCTGACACCGCCTGTAGTCCCATTTAGCAACTTGAGAGCAACTTACTTTTTAAAGGAGTATAACCAATTAAAAAAATCGAGAGTGTGCTGTAGCTGATGTGTTTTATGTCATAGAACAAAATGTGAAAGTATCTTGAGTTTGTGTTAGCCACGAACCTTATTTAAGCGATTTTACTGAAACGCATACAAAAAAAAAATTTACTTTGGGTCGAGGTAACCGGAACTGCTAAAATGCTAACTCACTTTTGGGATTTTGAATACAAATTGACGTCATAGTTTCTCCACTCTATTGCAACCTAGAATATAGTTTTTAATCTCATAACAGCTTGTTAGAATGCAAAACTCAGGAAAGACGGATTATTTTCCGTTATAATCATCGGATTTTATTCCTTGCAAATTTCTGTACATAAGTGTTTAATCTGCTTTTATCCATGGTGTCATATCACTCAGCTCTTACTGAACGAATGCCAATAAACATACATTTAAACCACAAAATAGCCAATAGTGTATAAAAATACTATATTTATAGTTTAGCTTCTTTTTCATATTTTGCAACACAACTCAGGAGCCAACTTTCGTTTCATTCACTCACTTTTAGCTAAAATAAATATTTTCACTTCTTCAGTTTAAAATATTTTCATTCAACAAGGAAACTTTTCAATTTGTTTGAATATGTGTTCATTAATTACAACTGAAGTATAATGTTGTACATTGTTTGGTTTTTTGTTTTATTTGTTTATTTGTGAGTTAATTCATATTTATGACTGTTCCAAATATGGTCAAAACTGAGCTCTTTCTTGCTGTAATTTCTGTGGCTTTAAATGAGAATATAAAACAAAGAGGGTTTCTGCAGATTTTTAAGCCATGTACATAATATGTAGATGTCAGACAACAATTTAACATTGAGTCAATGCAGGGGCGTAGATTTAGGGTGGACTGAGGGGACGCGTCCCCACCAATATTCACAGACCAATGAAATGTCCCCACCAATAATTTAATTACTTTAAAAAATCGTTTTGTCAGCATTAGCTTAGACACGCAGAAAGGGTTCAATGACGATCTTTCCTTGAGTCCTCCCGACCCCAAAACACATATGGACATTTTGATGTCCTTTCCCTGCTATCATGTGAAAGGTTGTGGATGCATTTAGATGAGCAGCGCAAAATGCAGTGGATTGTTTATTTCCCGTGCAACAAGTTGTGTTAGGTGACACACACAAGTGAGGATGGTGGCAGCAAAAAAGGTGGACATATAACATAAATGCAATTTTGCTACTGAATGAGTCCATCATGATAATGCTGGTAAAACTCATGTTTTCCTCCGCTTTAATGCAAAGTCTATTTTTATAACAAATTGATATAGACTAGTCTGTGAATAATATGCCCTGAAAGCTAACTGTAGAATAAAAAGCTATGTGATTCCCGCCAGTTCTCCTAATCTCTAGGATGTCCAATTTCGGTTGAAACAATTTGTCAGAAAAAACACAGCCTGTGTATAGGAATAATACTGATATATGAGACATGTTATATTTGCACTAAAGCTAAAATAAATTGAAGTCTTTATTAAACTCTTTCTTTATCAGTTAATAAACTTTTTTTAATGTTACACTATCAGGCCCATAGCAAGCTAATTAAAAGGGTGGCTATTTATTTTCTTAAAAACTGAACCTTTTTGCAGTTATTTTACAGATTTACTATTTAATTATGAGGTATAAATTTTGCATATTTATATTAATGAAATATTTTTAAAAAAATGTTTGCTGTTTTATCTTGTTCGATGGTTATCATAAGCACAACCATTTTGTCAAATTGCTTACCATACTAATTTACTATTTTAAGTGTTTATTCATAAATGTGCATTTAAACTGTAAGTTTTAATTTACATTATAAAAATAATATACATTTTACATAAAAAATATGAAAAGATTCTTATTTTTAACATACAAATTTATTATCATCTATCATTAAATTTTTTTTTAAATCTATTAAAATTTGTTTTAAATTTAACACTGAAGCCTATAGTCAAATAACAAACCACATAGGCTACAGTTCTTCACATTAATTATTAATATATATATATATATATATATATATATATATACACGCAAAACACACACACACACACACACACACAGACTGGTGTTTTTTGATTCACCCGTCCCCACCAATGTCAAGTGCAAACCTACGACCTTGAGTCAATGCAAACAACTTTAAAATAAAATAATTTGAATGTCACTGTATACTGACTAAATCTGGCTTTTTTACTAGCAAGCAACATGTTTTTTTTTTGTTTTTTTGTTTTTTTGCTTGGTTACAATTTATATGGTGTTTTTCTTGACAACCCAGCCACAGTGAAATATCATTCATTCATTTTCTTTTCGGCTTAGTCCCTTTATCAATCTCGGGTTGCCCCAGCGGAATGAACCGCCAACTTATCCAGCATATGTTTTACGCCGCGTATGCCCTTCCATTCACAACCCATCACTGGGAAACACATACACTCATTTACACATTCATACACTATGGTCAATTTTAGCATACTCAATTCACCTGTACCCCATGTCTTTGGACTTGTGGGGGAAACCGAGGCGTCCACATAAAAATGCCAACTGACCCAGCCAAGGCTCGAACCAGCGACCTTCTTGCTTTGAGGGGAACGTGCTACCCACTGGGCCACTGCGTCGCCTAGTGAATTTACATTGGTCCAAATTCTGCTCCTTATTACTGTGGATTAACAAAAATGCTGGGGTTGAGTTACTGGACACCATATCACATCATTCCTAGAATGGAAATGATTTTACTCACAGTACCATGACTTGACAGACAATGCACGTGAAGCCTCTGTCACAACTGACATCTTTTTGTTTTTTCTACTTTCTGTGCAAATGTATAAAAATTGTACATATTTTTTTATACATAACCAGACATCAGGAAGTTTAATCATGGATTTAGTTCATCATTTGAACTTCCTTTTTTTCAATATGAAAACAAGTTTTAAATACCCCACACACTTAATCATACTTTGGAAAAAAAAATAGTACTTGCTGTGGAAATAATAAAATAAAGTGGTTAAGAATGTAATGTTTTGGACAATTATTTGAATGCCATTTCAAAATGTATTACAGAGGAAATCAGTTTTTAAGAGATAGTTCACCCAAAAAAGAAAATTTGCTGCTCATTTAGATGATATTTATCTGCAATGTAGGTGACTTTGGTGATTTATAAAACATAAGTCAGTGACTACCAGCACAGAGCAGAGTGAATTTAACTATTTAAGTATATTATTTAATATATTAGGATTATATTTTTTTATATGTTCATGTGCATGTGTACATTCTACATTGTCATTTCAACATTTGAAAGATTTAACATGTTTTATACATAATTTAGACTAATTGCGCATTTTTTTCATATTTATGTATTCTTTGTGTGTATTTTGTAATTTAATTTTGTTTATGGAGAAAGGGAATAATATTTGTTTCTATTTTCCTTTAAAAGTATCCTGCTATTTTTGTAAAAGTTTAATAAACGCATCATAAAAAAGCATATAAAGGCCAGGCAAAATTAATGCCCATGGCCCTGGTGAGATATTGAGATCTTATAATGTGAAATGATCAATCTGGTGCTAGATTGCACACAAAGATAATCATAGCCAAATTCTGTACCTTTTCCTACACAGACGTTAAGGCAAGTCTTACATTTACTGGTTATTTTTTAATTGATTTCTGCAGCGTATGCACAGGCTCTACAGTCTGTCTTGTTGAGCTGTGATCTGAAAGAAGGAGGACAGTATTCATCTACCTGGAAGACATCTGCTCTGGATTTCCAGTCACACAGAAAGTGATTCTATTCATCTTAAAAGTCAATATTGAACACGTTTTGCTGTGTTGACTTAACATTTAGGATCTTTTTTTTTTATTTGCACTAATGAACCGTTTTAAATAAACCAACATACCTCAGTTTGAACTACATTTTGATTGTTTTAATAAATGTTACTAAAATAGCAAACTCGACTACTTGATTCTTTATAGTGTCACAAGGTTTCTCTGAGCACCTAAAATGTGTATGTGACCTTTGTACATGTATTCAGCTATTAGCCAATATTCCTGTCCACAGGTTGAGAAGTCCGCAAGTGAATGGCAGAGTTTTTTTTCTGTCTGTGTCTCTGGAAATAAGTAGTATTTATTTCCTTTCCAGAAAGCAACATCCTAATTTTTTGTGAAAAGTTGGATATGTTGATGAAAAGCATGTGCTTGTGAGTTGAAAAATGTGTGCAGCTCAAAGCTGGTTTGCTTTATCCAGCCCATGAGTTTATATATGCTCAAGCAGACTGGACACTGAAAATCTTTTTTTTTATTATTCAGTAATAGAAAAATAAAATAATAAATTGTAGTTGTTATATATTAAAATCTTATCGATGCACATACTGTAAAGGTAGATAAGGGCATATATTGCTTTGTGAAAGATAACTTATTTTGATTATTGTTTTTAATACATTTATCAAACATATACGTATCGTTTGTTGTTTTGTTTTAGTTTTTGCTGTATTAAAGTTGTTTTAAAAGTGTGAAGCCCAAAGTGGTTTGATAATAATAATCATTACAAAAATACATATTAATTACAACGTATGTGGTAATTTTTAAGTTGATGTCAATAGAGGAAATGCGTTACTATGCTGAATGAATTGCTAAAGTGGCTTATTTTATAGTCAGCATGAAATCAAAACTTAATCTTAAATTTTTTGGATACACTACCTGACAAAAGTCTTGTCGTCTATTCAGGTTTTAGGAACAACAAATAATAACTTGACTTCTAGTTGATCAGTTGGTATCATAAGTGACTCAAATAAAAGGCAAATGCCTCTAGATTACACGTATTTTACCTAAATAAAATATGATCATGCCTTGATTTTTGATCATTTAATTAATACAGTAAGGTCTGACTTTACTTAACAGAGATAATAGAATATAAAGTCATGGAGCCGTGGAAAAATAATTAATATTGTGTATAAATCCTATGAGCTTGGCCTCCATACATCTCTGCAATGACTGAAATACTTAATAATAAAGTCATCTGGAATGGCAAAAAAAGGATTCTTGCAGGACTTCCAGAGTTCATCAAGATTCTTTGGATTCATCTTCAATGTCTCCACCTTCATTTTACCCCAGACATGCTCAATAATGTTCATTTCTGGTGACTGGGTTGACTAATCCTGGAGCACTTTAATCTTCTTTGCTTTCAGGAGGCTGAAGTACTGTATAAGGAGCGCTGTCCTGCTGAAGAAGTTGTCCTCTGCTGTGGTTTGTAATGTAATGGCCAGTGCAAATGTCTTGATACCTCAGGCTGTTGAAGTTGCCCTTCACACATCCCCATACTGAATGTAACCGTAAACCATGATTTTACCTTCACCAAACCTGACTGATTTCTGTGAGAATCTTGGGTCCATGCGGGTTCCAATAGGTCTTCTGCAGTATTTGGGATAAGTGGGATGCAGTTCAACAGATGATTCATTGGAAAAATCTATACCTTCTGCCTCTTTTACAAACGATTAACTAGAATTATTATTTGTTGCTCTTACAACTGGGGATCCATGACAAGACTTTTGTCAGGTAGTGTATCGTGCTTGTTATAAATGATGTATCTGTGCACTTCAAACATTTCCTCTCCTGTCAAAATGATGTTGCTTCATTTATGGTCACATGAAATGTTTTTAGGGCAGGACTGTAGGGGCGAGTTTAATTTCTGCCCTTTAATCCATTCGCACCCATCCTCCAACAATCCAATCGGTTCCCAAATGACAAAATTATGTTCGCCCTACATTTTTTCTCAATTCAGAAACTGTTTCAAGTTTATGTAATTATCAATATATTGGTTAGTTTTCAACATGAAACTGTGGTCTTGGTTTAAATACTTTAGTATTGAATTTACACCAGGAATAAATATCCTGAATTTATTGAAGAAATCAAAGAAAAATTGTGACAGGGCAGCATATTGCTCCTTGTTCATTCCTATGCAAAAAGTGACAGACTTACAATTCTGTCTTAAAGTCAATAGATATCAAGGCTGTAATTGCATATGAATATACCTTCATGATCCAAATCAGCAATCGCTTTCTCCTCTGGTGGAGCCATAAACTTCCATTTCTCAAGTAATTATAAGTGTTCAAGTCTTGGATGCTGTGAATGTCACATATATAAAAACAAAAAAAAAAGAAACTGGTTGGTCCTAAAAAAAAAAAAAAACTCATTGTCACATTTGAAAACAGAAGAATGGCCATGGGTAATTTGGCATCATCAAAGCTTTGTTTTCAGACAGAATAGTTAAAATATAACACCTTTTTAACATATAGTATTTATTTTGTAAGGTAGTAATTGTTAAATTGTTACTAGCAAAAATTCTTTGTCACTCCTGCTTTTTTGCTAGTTCTGTTATGAGTCAAGTGGTCTCAGTATAGTTGAATGAAAAAAATTGTGTAAAATTTTGAATACTAGTAGCTAAAAAAAATGTGTAGGGGAGTGTGCAGCACAATGTAACTCGGGCTAAAATGTATCACGAAGCTTTTGGGTATTTGCTCAGGGTTAACTATGGCATGCCACCAAGTTTTCAACATAGTGTCGGCAGACGTATTCCTGCCAATTATTGTAAAAGTTTGGTGAAATTTGGATGAGAAACACAGGAGAAACCATTTTTGCAGCATAAAAGTATTTTTTATTAAACTCTATATTTTTTATTTTAAAGAAATCTGTGAAAGTATGTACATAAAATCTTATTGTTGTCATTACCATCAGGCTAAAAGATGGAACCATTGAAAGATGTAAAAAACAGAGACTGCTTGCCAGTTTTAAGAAAAACACGACACAGCGGGGTTAGTTGTTACAGGGTGTTACAAATAAGCCAGAGACTGGTTAATACCAATTAAACAAACAGAGTCGTTGTTGAATTTTGAGTGTAATGTTGAGAACTTTTTATATAAAATGTTTTTTAATAGAAAATATTTTATTACACAAAAAAATAGTTTTATTGCTAATACTGCAAATGAATGTGTTGAATTATAATGTATATTAACGCAAATAAATCCAAATGTGTTAATACAATAGATAAATAAATAAATAAATGAACATACTGTGGTAGAATAAAAATAAATTAAGCTAAGTACTGAGGAAATATAGCTACTTATTAAAGTAAATTGCACTTAAATTAACTGTGTAAAATCTGACTTTGGTGGTTCTTTCTGGTGCGGCGACCCCAGAGTAATAAAGGGATTAATCCGAAAAGAAAATGAATGAATGAAATCTGCCTTTTTAAGCATGTGTTACAACTAACCCTCTATCTGTTACAAATTGCCCTGCAGTGGGGTAAATAGTAACATTTTTACTCCTGGCACTTTTGGCAATACTGCACTAAAACCATAGGTCCAGCAATCATACAACCTCATTTGTAGGAGAGGCTTATGTGTTGTTGGTAAAAAAAAAAATAGTTTGTCTTACCCCTTTGTTTATTATTCGGCCAAAACCAAAAAGTGTTAATTTGTGCCACGCTCTCTATTTTCTTGGAAAAGGTAAACCTATTAGTATCTGCTAAATAAGTACCCATCTACTTAATAAGTACTCAAGTTTATTTAATGGGTCATGATCTCTAATAAATCAGAATTTGTATAGTAAGTACTATTTTTACATATTTTAACACAAGTAATTTTAGCTACTGAATAAGAATTACTAGTAATGGGAAAGATGCTAGTATATAAAAATAAGTAGTTTGAAACAGCTAGTAACGTATTGCAGATTAAATGTTGAAACTCCTTAAAGCCTTGCTTTATTACAGAACTAAACCAGGATTTCTTTAGACAGATGCTGCCTCTGTTGCTTCCTGGTGGAAGTACACATGCACGGTTTGAGAGTTTGGGAATACTTAATAAAATCATTGAAATAGAAATAAATAATTAACAAAAAACAGTAGATACAAGTTTTAATGAACGTCTTTATTTGTTTACCTGCATATCACGTTACTGACATCAAAGAACCATAAACATGCAAACAATGTTGCCAAGTTTTATTGAAACTGAATAATACAGTTATATTAAAATAGGTTAAGTATTGTGAAACAAGTAAGGTATTACAAATTAAATGTTCAAATGGCTTGAACTAAACTTTTAATGGTTTTATTACGAAACAGTGTCTCTTAATACAGAAATCGGTTGAAATTAAATAAAGGAAAAAAAAATATTATTATTATATTTACTCTATTTGTATTCCTCAATATCACATGACCGCTTAGCTGCCATGAATCGTTATGTTGTCTTAAAATCTCGTATGACTCCCTCCTTTCTGTAGGGAAAAAGCTATAGAATCCCAGTCACACAGGGACCACCTGACAATCAGAGAGCCGGAAAACGAAGGGTTAAATGACGTCACACCGCATCACATGTTGACGCCGCCAGATCCAATGTATGCCGCTCGCAGTCACTCATACCAGTGGCTGTGGAAAAAAAATACTGGAATGGCGACCGAAAGTACGGGCCGAGCTAGAGATCGATAAATTCTCATGTGATGTTGTAGACCAGACGAACGAGTATTAATAGCAACCGGCCTAAAACGTAGACGGACCTCCAGTCAAGGCAACCATGGCACACTTTGGAAATTTAGAGCGTTTTGATGTTTTTCCAGTCATGGAATTAGGCAATAAAAACACGTCTCGGGGACTTTAAATGCAACTCTTTTCGTCTGGTTTATGACTGCCGGTTTTTAACGAACGTGGTTATGTGGACTCGTACTAGATTTAGGTCGTGCAGAATTAACGCAAGCTGAGTAGTAAAACGCGATTAGTCAGCTAGTTTCGTTGTGTATTATAGATTTTAATCCGTGTTTACGCTTTTTTAAGTCATAACAGTAATGGTATTTTTTTATGTCTAAGTTTTTAACGTCGGAATTTTTTTAGTTAAGCTTTTTTTACGGGACAACATCTATAAAACAATGAAGTCTCTAGCTCCGGGCATCAAACTCATTACCTCTTTTTCAAGAGACAGCTGGTGAGTAGACAGGCCTATGTAAACACAGCGTACTTTTATTCTCAGATAGCCTGTTTCATGATGTTATTATTGATTTTTGATAGTACTATTGATTTTTAGCACTGCTACTTAAAGGTTCCTCATTAATCATTTATAGGCTTGATGTTTTCAGGTATACTACATATTAAAATTGAGGTAAAGTTAATTTTATATTCACATATTTGTTCATTTTTAAACCGAAGGATTATTTTTTTTATTCTAAATAGGGAAATCATATTAGCAATTACTAGCAAAGTACAGAATAGTTCACAGTCAATTAAATAGTGCTGATGTTGTTTTGAAGTCTTGTGAAGTCTCAAGATGCTTGTGATTTTAGAATATTCTTAGTACCATGGTAAAAACATGAAGCATTGTAGCAAGCTGTCTCCTAAAAGAATGTAAAATTTATAAATATAAATATAAAAATATATTTATATATTATATAAATATATAAAACCAACTTTACCTCAATCATTTTTAAAAGGTGACAACTTGTGGCACTGTGCCTATATTGTGCTTTGAATATTGGGTCTGAAAGGACATGCAAATATGACTCCAAAACAACACAATCACTATTTCCGTAAACAATATTGTACTTTAAAAGTCGTTGGATGTTAATATGATTTCCCTATATAGAATTTGCATATAATACTTTTTTTAAATTATATTTTTGAGACGTTTCGAATGTTCGAATATAAAAGCAACTTCAACTTTAAGCATCTGTAATTCAAAACGTTTAGTTATTCCACCATAAAGGCATATTTATTTACTCTGTTGGGAACCAAAGTGTGTACAATAACAATTTGTCTATTTTAAGAATATTCAGTTACATTTCAAGCTTTTAATAATCTGATCTAAATCTTAAAGACTACATTGTTGCTACCTGAGGTATGCAGTATGAGCTAACAGGAAATGCATAGAAAAAAACAGAGCATTCAGTGTGTGAGAGTTTGCTTTAGGTGAGGGTGTTTCCTGTAAGCCCACGTAATGTGGTTCAGTTTTATCATTTCTCGACTGTTACTTAATGCTAACAACCCCAGATTTTTCACATTTTAACCACTTGTGTTGCTTTTATTGAGTTTTAAATCCTTGTTTAACCCATTTCTTCACAAATAGGTACAGATTCTCCATCCTGTTCCTCACATTTGTGTTCTACACCAGCTACCATCTCTCTCGAAAGCCTATCAGTATTGTCAAGGTAATAAAAAAGTAAACAACCACATTGATAGGCCTCACCTTAGCAGGAGATAAGTCATGGGATTGCTTTTTTTGTTATTAGAAGGTGTGTTAAATGAATTGTGGTATTTATTTCTGACAGAGCCAGCTGCATAGAAACTGCTCAAATGTTGTTCATCCAGCAAATCTTAACATCACTGACAATGATACCTGGTGCGATTGGGTTCCTTTTGGTAAGTTTGATTCTTAAAAATATATGCAAAAATTATATATATATAAATTGATAAAACTATTAATAAATGTAAATTAATTAATAAAACACACCTAAAACCTTAAGGGGATAGTTTAGTTAAAGAGCAATTTATTTACAAAACAATTTAAAAAAAAAAATGTTTTTTTATAAATCTGCCATTTTCTCTTATTCCACAATTTGGAAAAAAAATTTGTAAAAAAAACAAAAGAAGATATTGAAAAATGTTGCAAGGCAGCAGCAATTGACATCCATAGTATTTTTTGTTCTTAATATGGATATCGAAGGCTGCTGGTATCCATTATTCTTCAGAATCTTCCTTTGTGTTCATCAGAAAAAAGAAACTAATAATAAGAAAAATGAAGAACCGCCCAGGTGTTGGTAAGCAAAAAAAAAAAAAAAAAAAATATATATATATATATATATATATATATATATATATATATATATATATATATATATATATATTTATAATTATTATTATTTATTATTATTTGTCCCTTTAATTCATTCATATCTGCTTAAACAATTAAAATTTTATTATCTTTTTAGTGTGAGCCTTAATTTATTCTCACAAAAGACAAAAGGTATATTATAAAATTTGTTAATAATAATAATAATAATAATAATGATAATAATACTAAAAATAAACTTAATATTTCATTTTAATTTAAATTTTGTTTAGATTAGGCATTTCTGTTGTGATGTATGCATCAAAAAACATGTATTGTGGCTATAATGCTTAATCCCATAGGAGCCTTTAGGAAAAGTTTCAGTGTGTAGCATCATATTTTCTTTCAGAAGTCATTTTAAAATTCAGATTTATTGATGAAAGATTTTGCTGTGTGGCTGTTTTTTGGATGCACTGATGAATCAAAGTTTATACATTAATAAAAATGCTGGGTTCCACACAATAGATTTTTGTTTGGACATCATGAAGAAATTAAGTAAACCTAATAATCTTAGTTTCTGTAAACCTACCACGTAATAAAAATTTTCCTTTTTAATAAAAGTAAAATACAAGTGTGTTTGGTTACAGATTTTTTGCCATGTACTTCGATTCTCGACTCCTAATTTTGGAGTCAGTGGAATCGACTCTATTTACATTTACTTAAAATAGCGCAAGGATTAAACGTGCTGTATCATATCACACTTTACACAATGCTACTGCGTCAATTGAAGCTTTATCAACCTACACTTTTTTTTTTTTTACAGCATATTTTAATTGTCTTGTTTCGATAATTAATACATATAATAGTGAACGACGTAATCTGTCATAACAGACGGTCATGCAAGGCGTGCCCCAAATCTGCGGTAGTTCACTTCTTTTTTTTTTTTTTTTTTAAACGTCAACCGATTAATAAACAAAATAGCTAGATTTTTCCATTTGATTTAATAAAAAATTAAATATTAAAACCCTCTCGTAAATGTGATTTTCTTTAACGTGTACTTTTTAAATAGTCCGTCACTTTAAAACATTACTGTTTGTTTTGTGCAATTTGTTCATATTGTAATTCAATAAGGGTGTGTTAATGGGACGGCATACATCGAAAGAAGAGCAAGTCTTGATTTTGAACACTTAAAATCCTCTTTTGGAAACTAATTTAGTTTTGTCTAATTTGTATTGTTTTGTAGTTATTTACAAATTAACCAAAAGAATGAATTGGAGGTGAAATTAAGTGCGCTCAGGGCCAAAACAAAACCACGACCACATGCTTTGTCAGATTTTGTGACATTAAATCTTGGCTTCTTTTTTCATTTATTAGTATTTTATTTATTTGTGAAATAGCCATAGGTAAAATAATAATAAAAAAATTACTTAAGCATATAATTTTACCTGCAGTGCTAATTTAAGATGTCGATCTGCCAATAGTATCTGATCCACTCTAAATTCACACACATATACAAATATATGCTATATTTCATTTATAACACAGCAAACTTGATGTCGCAGGCAGATCCAAATCACAATGCTTTAAAACTAAAATGCAAAATGTGTATGTGCTTTTTAGGAATTTAAAAGTGAAAGCAAACCTTATGCCACAGCACTATATGCTTGTGGTCGCGAAAAGCAAAAACATAAAATGTGTTAATGCGCATTCAAAACGGGCACTTTTAGTGTTCATCATGTTTGAGAATGAGTGTTACAGTATAACTGTAGCATGTAACTGCTTCATTCAGAAGGATTTGAAAAAGCAGACTCAACTCTTTTGGAGTTGACCCCCCATTCCTAGTAAAACAAACAAACATGCACAAAAACATCTTACTGACCCCATACTTTTGAGTGGCACATTAATAATCTTTTTTGTTTATTTATTTAATTATTTTTTAATTCAGATGGCAAAAATTATCAGAACCTGTTTGGAGTGCTGGACAACTGCTTTCTGGTTGCGTATGCTGTTGGCATGTTCTTTAGGTATGATGCTGGATACTCTTTGTAAGTTTAAATATGTTAAATGTGTTTTGCTTGAGGTGTGATACCTGGTTTTGAAATGTTTTACAGTGGGATATTCGGAGAGCGGTTGCCCCTGCGCTACTACCTAAGCACAGGGATGCTTCTCAGCGGCCTTTTCACTGCTCTGTTTGGCTTGGGTTTTTACTGGCAGATCCATTCTTTGTGGTATTACTGCTTAGTTCAGGTACGCTTTACCTCTCCTTTATAAATCAAACAAATTATAAAACCTCTGGAGGTGTGTTGGTCTGTGAAAACTTTCCAGAAAGCGATTTTTTTTTTTTTTTCTAAAAGCGAAACCAAAATAACAGAAGTGAATCTTTTCAAATGTATTATTTCTTTTCAGGAGCAAATTTCAAAAGGAAAATGAAAACATTTTGCATGTTTGCAAATAAAAGGCATATCAGCGTGTCATTTTGTCATGCTTCTCTACAAGTTAGTGGTAGTCCAGTCTTACTGACCCAGAGATATTTCATAGTAAAACTCGAGTCATGTTGGTGCGAGTCACATGAACAGCACATGACTAAATCAGGCGGATTACTTTGCTTCTTGAAGATGTTTAAGTCATGTGCTCATCAGACTTGCTGATTTAGATTTTTAGTGTTGTTCTTCTCTCTTTTACAGGCATTAAATGGGCTGGTTCAGACTACAGGCTGGCCGGCAGTGGTGGCTTGTGTTGGGAACTGGTTTGGGAAGGGAAAGTAAGTGACTGTTGTATTTTGTACTGCCTGCTCAGTGCAAAACTATTTCCTCATGTTCCCCTCCAAAAAAAATGTAATTAAATGCAGATGTTCACAAACACATGATAAAAGTGTCTTACTGAAAAAAAAAATTTTAAATTGTGCTTTTTAAAAGAAAAAAAATGTTGCTTTTACTCTTAAAGTTCAACTCGAGGTTTAGGGTCTGTATCGGCTGATAATCACATTTATTGACTCGATCAGAACTCGTTGATCTGGCCGATCTCATGAACCGACCGCAAGTGGTTGTTTACAAGTTTACAAGCAGAGGAAGATGCATCCGAGCTATGCATTAGCAGCGCTACAAGACATGAGCAATGCTTTTCAAATTGCATTATTAACCTTTTTTTTTTTTTTTTTTTTTTACCATTTTTTTGTTATGTTTTATCTATTTTCTTTTTGTAAAGCTGCTTCTGAACATTACATGTATGCAACACTTAATTTATTATCTAAGGTAAAGCGAGATTTAATACTTAAAGGGTAATTGTGCTTATGCAATGGTGAAGTTGTATAAAGCTTGAAGAATCAGAATTGGTATTGGCTGATCACTATGACAAGGAATCGGTACTCTGTATCGGCTGCAAAAATCCTAATCGGAGCATCCCTATTGATTATTATGTTTTATGGACTGGAAGTTACATCAGTCCCACTTTATATTGTGTCGCTTATACCTGTGAACTTGCATGGTAATTAGATGTAACTACATTGTATGTGTACACTGGTACATAGTATTTACTTGTGTAATACTGGTGTAAGTACACACATGTAACAACCAACTGAATAGTAAGTGTAAGTTCAATTTAATAACAGGACATTAGTAACAACACTAAGAAAGTACACATCTGTAACAAGAATTATGGAAGTGCGTTGCGTAACAACAATATGTACTTGCAAGTGTTTTCCCATTCCCACACCTGTTTGCATACCATGTACTTGTGACATTTGTATGGCAGAACTAATGCTGCATTAGAATATTTCACCTTGTGATGCCAGTGTACTTGCATGGTAACTCCACATTAGTTAGCATTAGTTCTGCCATGCAATGTTCACATGTACATGGTATGCAAACAGGTGTGGGAGTGGGAAAACACCTGCAAGTACATATTGCTGTTGCGCAATGCACTTTTATAATTCTTGTTACAGATGTGTACTTTCTTAGTGTTGTTACCAATGTCCTGTTACACCATTTGAACTTACACACACTATTCAGTTGGTTGTTACATGTGTATACTTACACCAGTATTACACAAATAAATACTATGTACCAGTGTGCACATACACTGTAGTTTCATACTACTTACACATCTAGTTACCATGTAGGTTCACAGGTATAAGCGACACCTTAAATAAAGTGGGACCCAATCACCAACAATCAATTTCAATAAAACTTTAAACTTTTTATTTAAAAAGGTGATTTTTAACTGTATTTATTATAATTGTTTGCCATACAATAACATTTGTTTAAAAGTGCTCCATGTATTTACTGCTGAGGACACTGACCCGCACAGATTGTTATGCATAGATTTAGTTTATTACAGTTTTTAAAACATTTGTTAATTTTTTTTTTTTTTTTTTGTAAATGTTTATGTTGGAAAAAAATGTGTGGATACAAGTAAAGCTGGCTTATATTTACACAATATATAAAATATTTTGCTAAGAACTATATAAATTTTCAATCATAATGGTCTTACAAATGACTTGAGTCAAAATTGTTCTTGGTGAAACCTGCAGATACCCTGAATTATATATTGACCTTAAAAGAAGAAATTATATATTTATATAGGTACTTGAGTCGTAAGCCCCATTGTAGACCATGTAGACAATTCTGGTCAATCTGATCACAGGTAGATCATGCTAAATACAATTATAAAAAGTTTAGAGCTTGTCCACTTTCATCAACTTTAATAAGTTGTCAAAAATGGATTGAATCGAATAGCTTTGGCACTGCATTGTACAAAAATGCATTACTTTCGTATTTGGCAACCACATCCTGTTTTACTCTTTCTTTTAAGCTTTTAATTCAGTAGTGCTCATGCATTGTTCTGAGCTACAAAAGATGAGAGAAAGATGTCAATAAAATCCAATATTTAAACACGTTAAAGGCAAAGTTCACCCAAAAATGAAAATTTAGTTTCAATTACTCGCTATTTACTTGTTTCTAAACATTATAAGCTAAACAAAGAAGATAGTTTAAAAAATGCTGAAAACTTGTAACTATTGACTTCCGACTATGAAAGTCAATGGTTGAAGGTTTTCAGCTTTCTTCAAAATCCCTTCTTTTGTGATCAACAGATGAAGGAAACTAATAAAGGTTTGGCATCACTTGAGGGTGAATAAATAGTGAGTACATTTTCATTTTGGGGATACTATGCCTTTAAATATAGCAGTAATTCATCTCAGCCAGTTATTTGTGATGAGATCACTAAATATGCATGTTAATAGCAGGTGAAAAGAGAGCTTAATAGTGCTGTGTACTAAGTTCTCCTGATGCTTTGTTTCTCATGCAGGCGTGGGTTTATCATGGGAGTCTGGAATTCACACACTTCAGTAGGAAACATTCTGGGCTCTCTTATTGCTGGAGTCTATGTGTCATCTGCCTGGGGTCTGTCCTTTATCGTGCCTGGTATCATTATTGCTTCCACTGGAGTCATCTGCTTTTTGTTCCTGGTTGAAAGTAAGTCACATATGTTCAGTCACAGGGAGTTTTGCTTGGTTCTGCACGTATGCTGTTCACAAAAACTGAAGCAGAAGGGGAAGCATGCATGGAAACAGAAACAAAGACTGCACACTCTAAGTCACTTGCACATAAACCTGATTATTTGAATTGGTTAAATGCATTGCAATGTAGAAATGTAATAAAAAACAATGGAAAGACAATGGTCCCTAACATAAACCCGGCGTATTGCGGCGCAAGACATGACGCAATTGTTGTTTGCTAGTTTCAGTTTGGCGCTAAAGTCGTTTTGATGTTTTGCAGCATGCTGTTTAAATCGCTCATCTTAGAAAGGAAACGTGTTGAGGCGCATTGCTGACGTGTTGCTATTTTAAGGAACTTAATAGACTGTTCAATAGACCAGATCAAAGCTGGTCTAAAGTCCAGTGCAGAGCATGTTAGTTGTGCACCACGCTTAAACATAGCTTAATACACACAGGGTGTACAGCAATACGCAAATATCTTTACAAATGAAAAAGAATTAAAGGATTAACATGTTACAAAAATTATTTTTTATAAATATAAAAACCACTGCCTCCTTGCCTTCATCTCGGGGGACTTTTTTTAGTATATTTATGACAATTTGCTTTTGTATAATGTTGTTATTATTATTATTATCAGTATTATTCATTATATGCATTTATATTTGTTTTATTAAAAACAAACTTAGATTTGCCCACCTGTCATGTTTAAGACCATATGGGGCATAGCATGTGTATTTAAAAACAACTTTTCTGAACATGCTTCATTATTACTGTTCAATTATTCGTTTGCTGGAAATTAGAACTGAATTTAGAAATGGTTTTGTAACAAATCTTTGCGCTTTAACAAAATTAATTATGTAGGCTAATGGATGTCTGTGTGTACAACATGTTTCCTTATCCACAAGAGTGAAAGTAAAGAATGAGGAGGCTCATCTCTCATTCTCGCACTGTAGATGCTCACTTTAACAGTTTTCTTACTAGTGAAGCGTTCAGTTTTTCCACTTACAAAGTCCACCATGTAAATAGCAAATGTGCTATGGCGCAACGCAACTGACTCTTAAAGAGAATGGGAGATGAGACCCTGATTGGTTTATTCTCAAAACACACCCATAACTCATTAAAAGAATAAGCTCAACCCTGTTAGACCATGCACCATGGCACAGAGCGGATTTTTCAGATTTTTCCTTAAAATAGCAAAAGTGGATTCTGACACGCCCTTTATGCTTTTGCGCACTGCGACTAGATCGTCAATATACAGCCCAACATTAAACAACTAAATTATTATGTATAAATGTTGTGATGTCTAAAACACACAATATTGTTAAATAACTGTTAATTGCACTTTTGCAATACCCTATTTTTGATATTATCAGAATACGATTTTTATCTGGAGAGATGATAAAGGAATTATTTTAAAATGTGAATCCTTCAAATATGGTAGATTTATTTTATTCAAAAGTAAGTCTTAAACTTTTAGATTTTATTTAATGTGTTTATTGTTGTTGATGTCTTTGTATTGTGATGAACCTATTTTATATTATATTATCTTTTTAAATTTATCAACTTATTTATTGTAGAAAAGCTTTATTTTAACTTGTTAATGTCTGTAGATTTAATTTGTTTGTGCTATGAAATATTCAGGGAAGTCAATATGGCAATAAGCTTTAAAACTCTCTTGTCAGTTGCAAGAAAGTATAATTTAACAGTTTTTATTTTTACAAAAAAAGAAATTTGTGCTGCATAAATCATGCCTTGGTTTCTCATCTACAGGACCCGAAGATGTAAACTGTACTGCGCCACAACACCATGTGAGTTCACTAACAGGTTGCAGTTGATTTATTGACTGAATTGCAGCTTAAATTTTCTGGCCTTATTTGCAAACTAATCATATGAAAATCTTCGTAACTCTTCTTTGATCGCCTTTTCAGTATAATCAATATAAAAATTGGCATGTAAATGTAATATTTGCATAACCTTTGTCGATACAACATTTAAATAACCTCAAATTATATAAATTTATATATTTGAGGAATTCAGATGCAAAACCCTCTAAATCCATC